GTTTCAAATAATTGAACGAAGTTCTTTTTTTTATGATTATAACTTTTAGATTTGAGAACTATTCTCAATTAATATTTAACCATTTATTTTTTTTTAAATGCCCACATAAGCTCAGTTTTTATTTCCATTGAAAACATCAAAGAAAAAAGCAACTTGAAATGACAAGAGCAATTACGAAAAAACGCGGGCGAGAAATTACAAAACCAGATTACAATCAATAAACATTTCCCTTTTTTTAGCGTTATCTTACCTAATATTATTCCGCAAAAAGTCCGAAATTTTTAACTGCAATCAACAAAGACAAAAAAATCTATAACGGTCGTGGGTGTTTGAAATAGAAAAGGTAAAAAGCAATAAAAGAAGAAACCATTCTATTTTTTTTCTAAATAAAAATTACTATAATTACTTGTTTATTTTTAAGTCGGTTTTAAACAAAACTAAAATACTACAATTTAAAACTATTTAATTAAAAGTGTAACTAACAAATCTTTGATAATTTTGGCCGATTTCAACGGATTTTCAACACTAAATGTAGACTTAAATAATTATAAAACACTCAAAATTGCATTTTTTGTTCATTGGTGGTGTATTTTTTCTAAATAAATACATTATGAATACATTTAACGATAATTTTGAGGTGATGAGGACAATTTTTAACAGCCGATAAAACTGGCCTCATTCTTTTTAAGTATTTTTTTCCAAATATGATTTAAGACTCTCAAAAAAACAGGGTTAAATGGAAGTGCCAAAAATCCCAATATTTATCAAACAAATTCAGTTGATATAAATCAAATATTAAAAAAATGCTTTTTTGAATTTGGTTTACTATTAAAAATTGCTTTAATTAAGTATTCATATATATTTCAAACACCATTTTCAATAATTTTTAAAGATAATTATTTGCTTCCATTTTTTTCAATGGTTTTTTGTAACATTAAGGCATTCTTTTATTTCTTTTGCCTTTATCGTACTAATATATTCAATAAATGTAACCAAAAAACAATAATCAATTCCATCTTTGAGACCAATATTTATTGCAAGATGAAAACAACAATATATAACATGTGGTCCAAAAATAAACACAATAGAAGCGTCAAATTATAATTATTAAACTATGTTCTTCTGCGAAAAACTGTCGGCAAATGTTTGAAGCATTGTTTTTGTAAAATTATTAATTTGAAATATTTAACGATTTATTGCTTTGTTTGAAACAAAAAGTTTATGATTTGCTCGACACTTTTTTGAAAATAATGCCATTATTTAAAAACTTGTGAAACAAATTTTTAAATTTTACTTTGGCATATTTTTCTACGTTTTCAGAGGATTGTCAAGTGAATAAATGTACACAAAACAATTAAATGTTGTTTTTTAGTTTGGTGAATAATATTTTACTAGATTACCTAATAAGATAAGAATAATGTTGATAATGTTGTTATTTTGTAAATATTGAGGCACTTGATTTGAGTGTGACAATTATTTAAACGAGTTGATGATAAAATTGTATCTTTGTAAAATAAAACAGTGTTGGTATTTATATAAATGTTTGAAGAGTGAAATAATGTTTTAATCGCTGATTATAATTAACTCAAATCAATTTTTAGATGTTGAATTTGAATGTTTAGCACATAATACACATAAAACACTTTATACATCCATTTAGATAAACAATTCTCGTGTTGTTATAGTTTAAAACATGAGACTTATTTATCTTAACGTTGAATGTGTTTGAACAAAAAAAGTAAAGGATGTAGATAAAAAGTATTTGATAATCGAATATAAACTGTTCTTTAAATTGTTGGCACAATTGACAACCAGATTATTGAAATACTTGTCACTTGGAAAAAAGTTACACTTAAAAAATTCCATGAAATTAGAACACAGAAAACAACACCAAAAACGAACACAATAGAAATCGATTACCCTTCAGACTATTTCTCATTCATAAGCTTCTAATTTATATACTTCTCCATTCTCCACAAGTTTAAGAATCTCTGCGTGTCCAAGAAGCACTTTTTTATCCTAAATAATTAATAAAGATTCCACCAGTTCTTATACTAAAAAGACTTCTGAAAAGTACTTTAAAAAACACAGAAACAAACGTCTTCTCTTCTCAAAAAACAACGAGCAGTGTCAGCGAGTCCAAACAAAGTTTTCAAGTCTTTAACTATTTGTGCAACAGTCGTTTTTGGCGTGATGTCAAACGTTTCATATTTCCGATTCCACTTCACGTGAATCATTTTACACCCTTCTGGTGGTGTAGAGTATTTGAACGTGACATTGACGGAATTATCTTCAGAAGCTTTTGTTTGTTGTGACAGAGTCTGGAGGGGCGCTTTCCCTGTCGGTTGTTGTTTAATTGGTCGAATAGGTTTATCATTAGGGTCGATAGAATATTGCGCGCGGAAGTATTTACACAGTTTCAAGTGCTTTCTCATGTTCTCCTGCTTGTTTTTGATCTTCATCACTCGCGTAAGTTGTCCCGACGAGTACGCCTCCATGCAACTTTTGCATTGGACAAACTCTGCGGCTTCCCCGTTGTTCTCGACCGGGTCAAATATTTCCCGACGTCCGCGCGCATCGGAATGAACTCGTTGAAATCTTTGAGTGGGCCTGTCGGTCCTTCCGTCAAGGAGTCCTCTTCGTCGCGCGAAGAGAGAGAAAATATATCGTCGTCAGACATTTCGTATGATTTTGAAGATAGCCAAGACCACATTTTTTCATAGAAAAGGCTATTACTTGTTACTTGAATATATCTCTAAATTAATAGAATATATTGTTTCATACCAAACAACGCTTTTTTCTCTCTTTTTTCTTTGGAAGTTCTTTATACTATACATATACTAATAACAAATTATTCATTAACTAGTACAGATCTTAATGAAAAAGAATAACATTTGTTGACTTGAAAATGTTTTTTGAAATTGAATTATTTTTCGGTGGCTATTGCTTTGATGGTGTCGCAGGTGACTTTGATATTCAACTCCCCACCTTCAGCTAATTTTAAGGTCTTACGGACAGACTCGCCAACTGCAAATAAGTCGACGTGATACGTCCCCGTTCCAATGATCTTTTTGATCGGGTTTTTCGGGTTATTTTTGACTTGGAATATGATGTCTTCCCCAAGTGTCGCATCAACTTGAAAAACTTCACACCAAAACGGGTTCACCGACTTTTCATATAACCGTGTCGACTTCTCGTCACTCATTTTTGTTTTAAAAGTTACTATAGAATCAACACCAGTAAGTGAGACACTGTCAGGAGAGAGTCCAAGTGCAGAAAGCACGTTGACACTAAGAGAATACACATCCATCAACATTTCAAGTTTCTTTTATGTTATACTATTACTTAACTATACTTAAACTATAATTATAAACATTGAGTGTATAATAATAAAAACACTAATATTACACATCCGTCATTTTAATTTAAAACATTGGATTTTTAAAAAGGTAACGTGATGTGCTATTATGTTTGTCAATTCGAAATCAAAAGAAATTGTGCGTTTTGTTTAGAAATTCATCCACTCGTCGATCAGTGCTTGCGCCTCGGCACCTCCCACTTTTTTGTCTACGGCTGCTATCAGAGGTCTTTGAACCTTGATAACTGGCTTTCCAAGTAACACACCACCCACAATCACACCATCTTGTCTGAATATTTGAACAAAGTCTTTTCCGCTTTTCTTAGTAACAGCGTCACCTACTATCTGCCCCACAGAAAAGACGTTTGTGAAGCAGAAAACGAAATATGGCATAGGGGTATGAACAAATTTGCTGTCTTTCCCACAAATGGTGTCTGCACACTCAGTGCCTTGCTTCATTGCATCCGTCCAATTGCCGAAGCAACACGAATTGTACTCACAACAATCGCCGCACGCATACACATCACTCAAACTTGTTCGCATCCGCTCATCAACAACAATCCCCCTATTCACAGCACAGCCAATTTTCTCGGCAAGTGTTTTGTTTGGGGACACTCCACACGAGTAGCACACCATGTCGCACATCAATATTTCCTTGTCCTGCAACTCAACGCAAATTCTGTCATCTTTTTCGATGATGGAAGAGACACATGAACTTGTTTTCAGAACAACATTATTTTGTTTCAACGTCTCTTCGAAAAGTGCCGAAGCCTCGACCGAGAGTTGTTTTGGAAGAATTCTGTTCGCGATTTCCACCAAGACAATTCCAACGTCCTTGTGCTTTCTTTTCATAGCAACAGCAATTTCAATTCCACAAAGACCTCCCCCAATAATGACGACGTTCTTGACTGTTTTATTTGCGAAACACTCATTCATCCCATTGATGTTAGTGAGTGTGTGAATTGGGAATACATCTTTCACCGTTGTGTTTTTGATGAAAGGTGGTCGATTAGGTTCCCCTCCATTTGCAAAGACAAGTGTGTCGAATGGAATTTCCTTCTTTTCTTCTCCTTTGTTGCAAAGTATTTTCTTCTCCTTCATATCGATGTTGTCCACAGTCCACCCAATGAGTGTATTAATTTCATTCTTTTCATAGAAGCAATCCTTCTCAAGAATAAACTGCTCCTTGTTAACAAAATTGGGGTCTCCAAGGACTTTTGGTATTGTCGTTCGATAATATGGTTTAGTATCTTCCTTGCAAATCAATGTGATGTTCTTCATCCCATTTAAGACCAGCTGTCGAATCGTTGCAAGCGAAGCGATGCCTCCGCCAATTATGACAATCTTGGTGTTCATACATACAGACTGCGGGAGTGGATCGGATGTAAAAGTCTTACTAAGCACTTCGTGAAGTGCTTTTGAACCACAGCAATGGCACGATTCACAGTTATTCTGTGTGTTGTTACACACTTCACAAGTATAGTAACGTTGTACAAGAGACATAATTCTATGTGTTTTTGTGATTATCCCCTTTATATACTGTTCATTCCATCACTTTCATCATTTCAATCTCGTCATTTCGTTTTCCAAACTTGCAGTCTAATCTATATTTATGCCTGTTCGGTACTATCATTTTACTAAAAAAATATCACAAAAAAACTATTTTTTTTTTCTTTTTTTTAAGCCAAAAACCAGATTTGTGATCAATCCACACAAATTTTTTATCTCCCCGTTTTTTGTGGTCTTATTGATTACCTTTTTTTAGTCATTTATTAACAGTTTTGATTTTTTTTAATTCCCAAAAGTGCACCACAAAAAGACCGAAACGTCCGTTATAATAAAAAAATAAATTGTTAGTAATTTTGTATTTACTATTTTAATTTTATAAATTCGGGAAATTTGATAACTTATTATTTAGTTTTCAATTCCCAAAACTCAAAACTACATTGAGCCTTTTTATTAAACCAACTCGATCTAGAATATACTGGAATTTCTTAACAATTTTTTTAAGAACAAGATAATTTTTTCTCACAATACGTTTTACCACTTATTATTTTATAGGTTTATATTATTAAGCAAAAATTAATTAAAAAAATAAATGTTTTATGAAAAAGTATTAATTTAATTTAAAATATGTAATTATACTAGTTTACATAAAAATGTTAGAATAATTAAATTGAGAAAAATAAAATTAATTAATAAAAACAAAGATGAAGTGGTAAAAAAAATTTTAAAATTTATTTAATTATTAATATTTTTAATTATATTTTTAATTAATTAATATAATATATTATAATTTAATAATATATTATATAACTATTAATAATAATATACTACAAAATATACTAAAAATAATTAAAATAAATAATTTATTTATTTTAGTCTAAAATTTAGAAACAACTATTTTCATATTAATTGATTGAATAATTTTAATAATTTTTAATTATAATAATTAAAGTTTAACTTAATTAAATCCAAATAAAAGATAAAAATTAAACAATTATAGTAAATCCCCAACACAGAGATAACTTGGCTTTATTAAGTTCTAATGGAATTGACGTTTTTTGCAGCAACACAAAGATTACAAAACGTCACACCAAACCGAGAACTTTCGTCCGAATCGACTTTGAAACCCTCAACCATAGCAAGTATACCAAACAGATCGATGACTTGCGCTTTAACAATCAAAAACATAAAAATATTGACGTATTCCTCACTCGTTCTGTCGATTAATATAAGATAGCTTTTAATTATTAAATACTAAACCATACTTGAATAATTAAATAATATGAAAAAAATAACTAGAAAAATAGCAAAAACAAACAAAGCCAATACAGCTGCTTTATCCATACATTTTGCCATATCTTCAATAACAATGTCTTGAATCGCAGAAATAACTTTTCTTGTTTTAAAAAGAGTTGTAGTCGTTTCGATACACGTCAACACGTGTATTGATTTTTTAAAAATCTCATCAAGATTGTGATTAGAAAATTTTGTTGAGAGATGAAATGATTCGGCGAGATTGCTTGCGGAATAAAGACGGAACTGAAAAGCGAAGTTTTCACTGGGCTTTTGTTCCTTGTGACAGAACACTTCTTTGATCGTGGAGTAGCACAGATCAAACAAAATGTTCTCTACTTCAACACGGAGTGTCGGGAAGGGTTTGAATTTATAGTATGACACTATTTGTTCTGTCAAATCACTCGCCGTTTGTGAGATATAACACTTGATGTTACTTGCTACCTTCTCGTTCTTATCGTGACGACCTGCGACGACGCGTGAGATGTTTGCGTTTAATGAATGAACCGAAAACTCGATAACATCGAGTAATGGGTGTGATGCACACTCCGAAATGTCATGAAAAATGGCGTCGACAAACGTAGAAGCGTTTCCGTCTTTTGTGTATGCCTTGATGTGTTTCTTAATGATGGTGTCGGTCTCTTTGATTGAACACGACATCGTTTTTAAGTTCCACTTACATTTTTTTGAATTAATAGAATAAGTTTCGATGCGTTTTTTCGGGATTTCAGCATCAAACAAAACCATCCTGTAAATTTTTTATTACTTTACAATTTCAATTTTTAAGATTAAATCAAAACATTTATTCATTATTTCTAGTTTTATTTTTGAAATAATCGTTTTTTTTTTGATGAGTAATTTATTTTTTAAGATGAGTATTAGTATAATTACTATTTATAACTAATATTTTTAAATGGTTTCATAATAAACCATTTTATACTATTTACAGTTTTGAAGATTATAGTTTGAAATAAATTAATAAACATTATAATAAACATAACATTTGTTCAATACAAATGTATTACTTTTAAATAGTTTTAAAACTATAATATAACAAGTCTCATTCACTTCATAGTTTAACTAAAGCTCTCCTCTAAAAGAGAAGTATTTCAAGACAATATCATTAGCGTATTGTTCCACAGTCACGTCGTCATCTCCGATCAGATCCTCGCACTTTTTATCAAATCCGATTTCTATAAATTGGTCGACAAGAGAATTTTGGGTTTCGATGTCATTTGCGGACACGTGGAAATATTCGAGTAATTTACTTGCTGCATTCAACGCGGCTATTTTGCAGTCCATTGAATCCCACACGACAAATTTCCAAATTCCCAGAAACAGTGGGGATTTGACGACATAGTTCATGAAGACTGCATTCATCGCAATGACACAATTGAACAAGAAAATGAGGATCTCTTCATCGCTTTTACTCTTCTTACTCATGTCGGTCTTTTCATTCTCGTTTTGGAATATCGTTGCTATGGAGCACTCGATCATATTAGTCTCCAAGAACCTCTCGACGAACAAAGTGTTTGTATTCACCAAATTTGAGAAGGTGAATGCAAGGACCTTCTTCATTTTCTCGTCACTTTCGACATACAGTTGCACCAAATACAAGAAGACGTTGTTGTCCGCAAACATTTGGAACACAACATCCTCCTCACTTGCAGACAAATCCTTCAGGACTATAAGTGCACTTTCTCGAATAGTTTTGTTACTAGAAGTTGCCAATTGAAAGCATCGTATTAATAAAGAAGATTTAATAGTATATTGTATAGTATTCTTATATCGTGTTAAGTAATGACAACACAAGAGGGCTCTCTTGACTACCTTCTCATCCGTAGCCGTCAATGCTAATATAATATTCTCTTTGAATGGTTCTACTAATCGCGCGTCATACAAATCAACGCGGCGCAAAAAGGCGGAAAGGACATACAAGAGATCGGCATCATAGGGACATTGCTTAAGTCCAGTCTGGATGGATATGAGGACCCCCGCAGATACTGTTTCCTTTATATAATCATCGTTGAAGTAGATCATATTGGCAAGGGCCCATAAGATAGTGACGAGGAGCTCCGCATCGCCGGTCACGGACTTTGAGGCTTGACTAAATATCGCGAGAGCGCCTAACTTGTATAAGACCGTTTCCGTTCCTTCACCTCCTTTTTCGCAAAAGTTGATGAAGAACCAAGCAACCTCGTTAGCGACGGTTCTGTCGTGTGTCATCGAAAATGTTTGTAAGAGGGTTGGGAGGATTCCTGATGCAAAGATTTCGGAAAGGGGCGTGTAGCCTTCGTTATCTATCGACAACCTTAAATTCCGAATGATTTGTTGTTGTTGAAGTAATGAAGTTGGATGAAGCAAACACTCTGTGGAAGTCTTGTAAAACTGAGCATAGGAAGACGGCGGTGTAAACTCTTGTTCAAAAGTAACAGGACGGCTGCGTCTTAATAAAGCTTCTCGACGGGAATGCCGAAGGACTGAAATGTCCTCTTGAAACTCTTGACATGACTGTGCCAAGCTCTTCGTTCCGCGAAGGTGCATCACACTTTTTCGTTTTTGATTTTTCTCTCATTTGTGTTGTTAATTATTTCTTATTCTTTTCTAGTATTACAAAGCTTTCTCTTTTCGCACGTTTTTACTAGTAGGTTGCTATAAAAAAACTATCATTAAAAATGGAATACAATCCAATACTTTACAAATGATTATTTATAGTAATCTTATGGTTTCATTATTATAATTAAATAATATGAAACCCCACGTGTGGCATATTCATTCGATTTTGTAAATTACAATATAATTATACTATATAGTAAAATGAACCATATAGTCATCTACAGAGATTTGAGTTGGTTGGAGAACTCCAAAACTGTTGTAGAGATGTCTGACGAATGGCAAAGTGCTTCAAATAAGCACACAAAAGGAGGAAAAGGGAAGAAGGGCAAGGCCGAGAAAAAAGTTGCAAAGAAGGTAGAAAAGAAAGTCGAGAAAGTAGAAGCACCAAAGGAGCCAGTCGTAGAAGCAGTGAAAGCAGTTGAGAAAGTTGAGGAACCGGTAGTTCCAAAAATAGAAACCGTTGAGCCAAAAATTGGGGAACCAAAACAAGAAGTGAAAGAAGTTCTTGAAACTCAACCAATTGAAGAAGTTAAACCAATAGAACAGAAAAAGAAAGAAGAGAAACCACTGAAAAAAGTCGAAGTCGTGGAGAAGAAAGATGACGAATGGGTCGAAGTGAAAAAAGGAAAACATATGAAACACCAAAAAGCTAAAAAAGAATCTCAAAACTAAAAACACTCAATTAAATTAAATGCAGTTTTAATTTTAACTAGTTATTATTAATATATTAAGTTATATGTAATAGATTATTCATTGGTTAATTTTTAATTATAACTTTTATATTATTTATATTAGTTTAATTAATACCATGATAAATTATATTTTTAATTAAATAAAATTCAATCCAAAAATATTAAAAATTACTTTTTATGTAATAAATTATAAATAAATAAACAATTGATTATAAAGAAAAAAACCTGCTCGTTTTTGAATATAGTAAAATATAATATTTATTGTTATAATTTAACAAACATTTTGTATTATTTCAAAAACATTAATAAAAAAAGAAAATTGAAAACAAATAAATAAAAAATAAAAATTATTTGTAAAACCAAACAATAGTAAATAAAACCAATTTTATGGTTAAAATTATTTTAATCACGGTTATAATTTACCATTTTTAAACGTACAATTTCGGGTTTTTATTCCAAAAAAATAAATTATTGTATATTTAATTGAATTAATTTTGCTCAATATCGAAATGAATTTAAATAATAATAAAAATAGAAACTAATAATAAATGGTTGTTTATAATAAAATATAATTTATCATATAAAGAACAAATACAAATTATTTGTTATTTAATTTAATTATTTGACAACAAATAATTAATGCGCATTTAAAGGGATGAAAAGAGTTAATTTTTGTGTTTTGCTTCCTTTTTGATTAAAATAAATTTAGACAAATTAATCAAATGCTCTATAAATTACTTTATTAATCAATACAACATTTAATAAAAATATGATAATTTTATTATATATTTATTACAACTTGTAAGTGACAACTTTCATTTTAAATTAAAAAGGAACGAAAAACCTAAACAGTATAAAAAGAAAGGATGTCCTATTTTTCTCTGTTTTCTACATTAGTCGCATCTGCTGCGGTTGTATCCAGTGTATTGGCTTATCGATTTGTAAAATTTTGTATTGACGAGCGAAATAGAAAGGAAGAGGAACATCAACTCGTCGACTCTTTAATTGAAAAAAGCCGAATTGAAGATGACATTTTTGAGTTCCAACATTTGTTGACAGATGAAAAAGATGGTTTTCCACATCAAGACGAAAATCAGTTACTTTCAAAATCATCTCAATTAGACTCTTCAAATTCCGAATGTGAAATTTCTTCTATTCATGTAGATAATGCCCTGATAGATACAGTTCTATTTGATGAAAGTTTTAATTACAGAGTCGACCGTTTATACGACAATGAAAACTCTTTGCACTTCACTTCCCCATCGCGTTCAACAAGAATAAATATACAGCGAACTATCGTATCTCAACGCAAAAAGCTTACTACTGAAAAAAAGCCAAAACGCACCAACTCTCCAAAAAAATCTAAAGAACTTGAAGAAAAGTTAAAGAAGACATTCTCTTCTCCTTTTTAAGTCCTTTCACACATCATTTCACACAATGTGTACAATAGTAATTCATTGTTTGTACTTTATTATTATATTATAGTATTATAGTATTATATTATAGTATATTATATCTATTAAAAATACTAATACAAATATAGTATATCAACTAGTGTTAAATTCTATTCGATATAAAAGAATATCATGTAATAATTCATTATAAGATGATAGCTAAAAATATAACAAGAAGAAGAATGCAACAGAGACAACATATGATAGCCCACATCTTCTTATCATCGTCTCGAAGTATTAATCTTTTAAGTCTCGCGTTTGCGCTTTGAATATTAGAATTGACTAGTGGCGTTTTCTCGTTGACCTGTTTATTAGTATATTATCGACTATATACATCGATTTTATATCGACAAACTTCGTCTATAATCAAAGCGTGTGTGTCCAACTCTTGTCCGATATGTATAGAAGTCTCCTTCAGTCGTTGTGCGACTTGTCCGACTTCATCGATCTTATCTTCTCTATCTATTTGTTACTCGGTATCATCGTATATTTCAATACAAATAGCTCACCAACCAAATATAGTTCAATTATAGTTAAAATATAGTTTAAACAAACTATTAACGAGTGACGCATACCTATCAAAGTGAGTACTTTGAGGTGTTTGAGTCATCGAGATCCTTTTATCTTTTTAAGTTTCTCAGAACAAAAGAGTATTTAGTTAATTATAGTAATACTATTATACATGTATAGTACAAGCATTCATGAAATTTTTGTGGTGAACTCCAAACCATTCAAAACGTCAAACAAAATCGATTGAAATGAGAGAATCAGAGGACTTTCACAGCAATGACCGTCAAGTTATCTCTGCACTCGCTGACCTTAATAGAGTGGTCGATGATATTTCTTGCTCCTTTCTCAAACTCATTCTCCTCAAGTAGTTGAAACGCTATTTCCGGCGAAGTGACGTCCCAAATCCCGTCACTACTCATAATGATTTCATCCCCTTTTTCAAGCATGACCACTGGACTGATATATGGCGTTCCTATCATCCCCAAATTTTGACTCTTCACAAATTTGTTTGCTAACGATCGAGCAACTGATACTCCACATATACGTCGTTGCCCCTCTACCATCGCTATCCCACTTTTTACAATTCGCTTCTGTTCACACGGACTCGACACCTTATGGTCTTGTGACAGTGTGATAATCTCTGGTGTACTCCCATTGAATTTTCTACAGGTCAATATACTATTCATGTTTAGTTCTTTAACTATTATTTAACTATTCACTCGATCAATGCAACAAACTTCACAAAACACGTCGAATCTCCGACGTTCCCCGACTGCACGTACATCTCTCCGTCTTCTTCCCACACGTAGACAATAGTACAAGTGCACCCAATACAATCAAGTTCGTCTTTCTCCATCAACTTCTTGTCGACTCGTTCAAAGCACTTTTCAAGTAAGTCTTTGCTCTCGTAATTTTCTTTCAGAAGGTCTTCCAAGATCCCCGGAAGGATTTTTTTTGTCTCAAAAGCAGCTTGCACGCCGCTGTACCCATCGAAGATCCCAAAGAAATTTTTATGTTCGTCCCCATTGAATGCCAGTGCACAGTAATGTTCGTCTTCCATCATCTCTTCAGCAGTTAAATTCCCTTTTTTCATATCAAAGTAATTGTCTCCTATAAGCCCCTTCTTCCCACGACGCAGTCCAGACAAATTACAGTCTTCATCGGAAATATACCGAAGATATGTATTCGCTCCACCCGCTGGAAACGTGGGAAGAACTTCTTTCACTTGTTTTTTGGTCTTTTTGGTTTTCTTCTTTTTCTTTGGCTTTTCCCCCTTTTCAAGTTTCCCATCGTCGTCATGTTTCTCGTCGACAGGTTTCTCGACTAGTTCTGAAGTCACTTGTGGCTCGACTAAAAGTGCTTGTTCGACGTGTTCCGAAGGTGTTTCATGTTGGTCCAACACCCCTTCTGGAATGTCCGCCTTTTCCTCTGCAATTTTTGCCTTCTTAGTTTTGTGGAGAGGTTTTCTCGTGAGTTGTTTGCGTGGCTTTTCTTTCACTTCCAATTCGTCGAAAGTGTCTTGCACTCTTTGCACTGTCACATCGTTCTCGTTGTGTTGTACATTTACATCTTCGACTATTTGTGTGACTGCCGTCTCGACCTTTTCATTGCCATCGATGTGTTCTGTTGAAAGTGTTTGGAGAGGAGATTCCATTTGACTTTCATGTTGCTCTTCGCCTTGTTGTATGACTTCTTTGACTTCTTTGGTGGTATCTTCGATCTGTTTAGTCTTTTTAGCTTTATGTAATGGTTTGCGTTTATTCAATTGTTTGCGTTTCACTTCGGGTTCTTCTCCAAGACCATTATCGACTACTGCGGGTTCGACATTGAAATGATCGACTTTGTCTTCCGTTCTATCTGGTGTGACTTGTTCAACAGGGCATTCGACATGTTCCGGAACACTTTCTTGATGTTCCGCAGGTGTATCGATGACATCGTTATGTTCTTCTTTCATCTCTTCGATCTTTTTAGTCTTTTTAGCTTTATGTAATGGTTTGCGTTTATTCAATTGTTTGCGTTTCACTTCGGGTTCCGGGGATTCTTGTGTGTCAAGTGTGAGTTGTGGCGGTTCCTCGATTGTTTCGTTTTCGACTTTCTCAATTTTTTCTTCTAAAGTCGTTTTGTCGTCGGTTTCGATTGTTTCGACGTTTTCAACTTTTTCGCATTTTTCCGTGACAAACGGGGGTTCGGGCATTTCATTTTTTTTGGGAAGATTTTGTTGGTGATCGTCCAGGGTTTCTCCTTTATTCTTTTGTTCTGTCTTTTCTTCCCCACCTTTAGCCTTTTTTGCTTTGCGGAGGGGTTTTCTTTTGTTGAGTTGTTTTCGTTTCACTTCTGGTTCGTCTTGTAGGTTTTGAATCACCTCTGCATTATCCCCGTTCTGAGTTGTGACATCTTCGACTATTGGGATGATCGGATTTTCCATTATAGTGAGCAAAGTGTTTGTTCCCAGTTTTTTTGAAAACTGAAATAATCTCAAAATAACGAGCTTAAGAAGTTTGATTGACTGCTCCCTGTTTTATATAAATAGAACGCCGTCGAAAAAAGATAAAAAACAAAAATTAAATCCCATTTTTTGATTTAAAATGTTATTCTCATTTGAACTATTTTTTTTAAAGTATTAGAAAAACGTACTATTTCGACTAGTAGTCCGATATCGGCAACAAATTTCCATAAAAGAATAAATTAATGGGTAATAAATGTCGATATAACATCTTGTGTAAAAACTTAGATGTTGCACTCCATTTCCATATCAAGTAAGTCGAATCCATTGACTGGGGTATGTAGATATCTCTCGATTTTGAAGTTGTGTTTGTTATAAAATCCGATAGCTCTTTCATTATTAATATTACAATTAAGTATGATTTTATTACAGTTCTTGTCATGCGCAAAAGTCTTAACCTTTCCCATCAAAATGCTCCCAAGTCCTTTCCCTTTCAATTCAGGCATTAAATAGAAGTCGTGCAAATAGATTGATTTATCCCCTTCATGATATCGAATCCCAGTAAAGCCAATGACCTTCTCATTCTCGTAGTAGACTGTAAATTGAGATCCTTTATCCATTGCACTTTGTATGGCTTCTGTTGAATATAAGTACTTATAAATGGGGTCTCTAGCTTCATTACTGAGTAGATTTTCAGTGTAAGTCGCGTAGAATGTTTGTTTTGCGAGGGATTGAAGTAGTGGAATTGATTCTCTTGTTATAATTGTCGTTTGCATGGTATAATTATTAAGTTAAAGTTAAATCTTTTCGCATGTCTTCAATCACAAAAGTATCACTTTCCATGTGTTTCATAAATTGCTATTGAAATCGAAGACGTTCTTTGAATTAGTTTTTTTATTATTCTTCATTCTTGAATCATCTCCGAACTACTTTCCTCTGTTCCTTTTCATGTGTTGTCTTTTATCATTTTTTTCTTTATTTTGTTATTATTTAAAGTAGTGTACAAACAGACAGACAACACACTTATTCATCGTTTGAAATAATATTATTTAACTATTGATATAGTTTATAGAAATAACTAGGGTTTTCCATTGGCATATTTAAACCAACTAGGAATGATTCATTTCAAAAGTAATTTAATAGTGTTGAGTCTTTATGGGCTGAGCATCACTTTATTACAAGAATGCCAATGCTGGCACGTGGCGAAGCCTATAGCAAAGCCCGACTTTAAAGCATCGGATAGATACCTCAAACATTTTCTATAATTTTATATTTTAAATATTATATCTTAATAGTTTTTTAAGTCACTTAATTTATTAAGCAAAATTAGTAAATTATAGTTTTAATTTGATTAAAAAAATAGTAAAAAAAGAACCAAAAGAAGTTATAATTAAATTATACTTTTAGGAATTGTTTTACCTTTTCCCAGCCCGTCAATTTCTTTGGCTTTTCCTTATAGAGGAAGAGTGTCTCGAAGGCAACAGCAGCAAGTGAAGTGACCATTGCCGAGTGGGCAGCTCTAGTGCATCTATGAACTGCGCCCTTATAAAAAGCGTTAATACCTCCACTGTTATATAAGAAGTTAACAGCTTGGTACACAGACATCTCTGGATGGCTTTTCAAAAATCCATTGACGACCCAGAAAGGATGGTTACAGAAATAACCCACCGAGTTGTTCAAAGCTGCCGCTCCAAGCTTTGCCCACCCACTTGGTACAACGACTGAAAATGCTTTTTGGTAAGTTGGTCTGAGCACTGACGCACTTTCTAATATCAACTCCATTGCGGTGAATGGAATGACATTTTGGTAAACAGAACAAATTGGTCGTTGAATTTGGGTGAACATTTTACTGGTGAAAAAATTCAAAAAGTGTTCGTGAGGAAGAACTAAAAGAGGCGTTGAAAGTCTAACAGCCCAATTTCTATAAGGAATGTCGGGCATCGAATTTTGCAAAAAACGAGTTGTCGTGTAATACGGCAAAAGGCCGTTTAAGTTCTTTGGAAACGTTTTGTATATGACTTTAGGGTTTAAAGAAAAGTTTTTAGAAGGACGAGTAAAGGAGTAGTTGATCACTTGCCCAAAAAATGCAGTTTCTATAGTTGTTTGTATAGCTCCATTCAAAAAACCATAGAGCATATTCTTCTTATGAAATTTCAAAGAGTCTGGGATATGGCGGGAAAGTGGTGTTGCTAACAAAACGACTAATTTATATGGGTCTTCCATCGTTTTTGCGATTTGAAGTTCAGTCGTGTTAAACGACTGAGTTTTTTTCGAGGAAAAAATTGTTTTTTATAACTATTAATTATAATTAATTGTATTAAAATGTATAATAAAAATGGTATTGAAAAAATATGGATTCGAACAAAAAGTTTTTTAATCAAATTCAAATGTCCACTTTTTTGAACAGTGACTTGTTCAAATGAAGTATTGTTTTTTTATTATATAATATAATTTATTCAAATATATAGAAAATCAAAAAAATGTACATAATTTATATAATTAAATTATAGTTTTTTTATTATATTTATTATTTAGATAATATGGTTTAAATAAAACTTTGATTATTTATCCCTTTCAGTACCAAAAATTTCCAAAAAATGTAAACTTATTTATATCTTATTCATTTTGAGTGTATATTAGAAAGAAATCATGCAAAAAACGGTTTAAACTTTTTACAACCATGGGGAATACCAGTAAACAAAATTAATAGTAAAAAATAATTTAATTTACTATAAATTAATAGTAAATTTAAACCTAAAATTGTATTTTTGTTGAAAAAAGGTTCACTTTTTCTGTGATAAAAACTTGACGACTTTTCCTGTAATTATTTTCAAGTTTAATATATTTTTTTTTATTTCAAAAAATTGTGTATAGTAGAATAAACTATACATTATAAGTCTTTCTAAAAACAGGGTTTTAAAATAAGAAAACGTATCAAATAAAATTCTGATAAAATTCTTTTATTGAAAAACAAGGGATAAGTCATACTTTGAAAATTCCAAAAGTAATTATTTAAATTTAGTTTTCATTGTAAATGATTTGATGTTTTGTAAATAACGTGTAAAAATGTTGATATTTTATTAATTTCTGATTTTTATAACAAACAATCAAATACTATTATATTGTATGTGCTACCATACTGACGGTTAGCGTTCTCACTTTATGAACTTTTGTTGAGAATCATATGTATACGAGATATATTTACTAAATTTTTCTTCTTAACTATCATTTTAAAAAAATCGTTTTCATTACACAAAATAAATTAAATGTATATGAATAACATTACTACCTTTTTCACATTTTAAAGAAAGATCCTATATATACATTACTCTAAATTATTATAAAATATATTCTATAACTAATATGTATGACACAACTGTGTTAGACTTTTAATTTATATAACATACAAAAATAAAACGTGCAAACTTTTTATATATTATAAATGATACATCAAACTTGAACTGAAAACTACAATATTAAAAATAAATACTGTATAATTTAGAATAACTTTTAGTTTACAAATTTAAGTTTAATTTCATTTGTATGCGTGTTATAACAAGCATATTTCTAGTATTGGAAGGGTTATTATTATCAATTATCAATGAATAACAAGTTTTGATTCGGGTCGACTAAATAAAAAAATCAAGAAGTTCACACTACAAAAGATTGTGTTGATGGTATTGATCAATATGAAAAAGCGAAACAAGTACTTGTTGGTAAAAAAAAATCAACAAAATACCATCACATGTCTTATATTTCAATGACTTGGCTACAAACAAAAAGTGCCTAATATTATTCATCAATATGCTTGGAATTATTAACACACCATTAGTGATCTCAATAAAGCATATTTATCGACTTTCCAATTAATCAATAATAATATCTTCAAAGGGCGACAAATGACAACACATTCCATCATAATAAAAGCTTTGACAAAAGAATGGTCGACTGCTCCATTTTTATTTTTTTTAAATAAACTATAATTATTTATTGTTTTAATTCTTTTGAAAAAAAGAACTTTGAGTCTTAATTTTAATTTACACCAAATAAAACTCAAATCATTAAAAGCACTACTTCATGACTCAACTTGAACCTGTGTATCTCATGAACATCGTTTTGTTTTTTGATAACATCTCGACAACTAAAAAATTCGTTTTTGTTTCAAAAAATTGCAAATCGGCAACAGAACGTTTAAAGAAAAATCCATCACTTTCCTCAAACACAACAACACTAAACACTATATTTAAATATTTTCCTAATATTCAACAATTAGAATATGATTTAATTTCTCTTTCATCACAAATGTCAAAATCGTTTTATGATCGCTTTGAAACATTTGAATCTTCAAATACTGAAGAACTGACGCAAATCAATTTATTAAGTTCTGAGGTTTTGAATAAATTAAGAAATGTATCAATAAATGTTGAGACATTAATTAGTAACAAAGTTTGCTTTTTAACTCCAAAGACTTTTTGGAGACTTGAGAAATTAAGAATATACACCAAAGAATGGGATTTTTTAAAGGAATTTAGTCAATCACGTTTTATTAAAATTCTTCCAAATATCCGCAATTTCCCTTTCCTCAAAACGATAATAGTCTATGTCTTTCCATCGTCACTGAGTTTTGTAATTTCTTCATTAAAACAATTCGTTTCGGAAAAAATCAGAGTTATCTTTTATGTGTCTAAAATATTAGATGAGACCGTTTTGGAATATTTCCCGGATAATTGGGTCATCGTTGTTTCAACTTTTTTTAACTCAAAATTATTTCTCTGCCACAAAAATGTCATTTTCAAGAATGGAATTACAACAAACTTTCGTTTCGCTTTCGAAGCGGACGTGGCGCAGTCTATTGACTTCTTGTACCAAATTAACAATTTACAAAATGTGACTTTGATTTTTGATGATGATTCCGTTTTTACTAAAACGAATAAAATCGACTTTGCGTCGATTTTTTGGGACGGGAAAGTAAAAATAATAAACAAAACGAATACATTGATTAATGTCATATTTCCCCCACGCGTTAAACAAATTGAATTCATAGGACTTGCAGAAATTATAGTTGTTGGGTGTCATGTGAATGAATTCCAAATTAACGGCTTTGTGGGAAATGTTATTTGTAATACACAGGAATACAAAATGAACTTGGAATATAACATAAATAATAGCCTTTTTAATACCACAACAAAACTCGAATTTCCACACAAAATTCAAAACATCGAATTTTACTTCAATGATAAAAACAATAACAAAACAAATTTATACATCAAAGCGACTCAATTGGTGAACGTCATTTTTTCAAAGGACTCAGAATGGGTTGATTCTCTAAAGGAGTTTTTCTTCGAAACTGAAAAAAGTCCCAACAAAGTGACTTTTAAATTATGTGACATCACGCAAAAACTCTCTCAAGTGTTATGTAAAATGAACCCAATAGCTTTATCACTGTACGTCGACTTAATTAGAGAAAACTTTGACATTTTTAATTCAACTCTTCAAGTTTTAGAATTAAATCTCGGTAATGTGGATTTTGTTTCGGGTCGTACAATCAAACTTCCCAAAACGGTGTGTAAAGTGTCGTCAAACTATGGCATGGCAGGATTAATGAAACTGATACTTGAAAACCCACAAGACGTTGACACAGATACTGCTATTCGTTTTTCTAAAGCACCTTTAATACCACTTAAAGACAAAAAATGTTCACCCAAAACGTCAAAGAAAAGCAAACAGGACAAATACAAAAACAAAGAAGTCACAAAAAAAGTCACCAAGAAAAAACACCAAAGTGACTTCAATGGCGAAGAAAACTTGGACTAAATGATTGATTTCAAATGCCATTTGTTACTAATGATAAACTGTTCTACATAAATATGAAATCGTTTAGTTCCTTCACGCTCGTAGCAACGAAGTGACACATCCCCTTCATCTTATCTTTTATATCTTCGTGTCCGTCCCCATACGTCACTCCCACTTTAGTTATGCCTTTGAAGTGATCTGCCATTCTAAACCCATCACTCATATCGTCAATCACAACGATCTCATTCTCTCTGAGATTGAACTCTCTCATAATTGAAACGAGAAGTTCTTTATGTGGTTTTGACAACTTGGGATTGTGAGAATCACACCCAAAAATTTTGTCTGGAAGGAAAGAGCCTGCCTTTGTATACGCACGAGCGATGTTATTCTTATCGCAATAAGAAACGACAACAACAAGCCCCCCAAGTTGTTTAAAATGTTTCAACACGTCAAGAAAGCCTGGAAAGAAATCAGGTGGGTCATGGCTATCCGCGTAAGCCTGCCAGTACTCAGCCTCATATTTGATTAAATGATCAGGAAGTCTTGCAACATCTTTATAGTATTTGGTGATCCCAATGTCAAATAAATAGTTCTGAAATGACGTGAGAGACGCGGGCGGAATGGAGGGAGCATACTCGCGCATAAATGAAAGATAACACGGATAGTTTATTTTTGGCGTCGAGTCAACCGACGTATCATCGTGATCTATGACCAGACATTTGAATCGAGAATTCATCACTCGTTCTGCATTTTACGATCTTCTCTGATTTTAATTATATTGTAATATATATAGATAATTTTAGTAGATATATAGTTTGTATATTATTTTTTTTTTGATGGACTTAATTAAAATTGAAAAAAATGAAAAAACTAAAATAAAAAGAGATTGAAAAAAGTGGAAAGAGAAGACAGAAAAAGCACAAAAAACGAGGGGAGTGGAATGAATTCATTACTCACCGAATTCAGCGACGCTGCTGTGGTATACCCAGCGCACAACAAAAAATGCAAAAGGTTTGCAATGACATTGTCCAGAACTCTGAACGCCGAAATCTTTAAGGTTTGTGATTCAAACTGTACCAAAAAGAACGAAAAAGCTCACAACTAGATTTCAGTGTACAACCCTTACCACACCACAAACAGACTTGTCGTTAGTTGGCATAGAACATTGGCAAGGAAAACAAGGTCCTTTCAAAAGAGGATAGAGTGCATTTCGTCGTGCTCCATCGACATTGACAAATTCAGATGTATCATCATCGTCTCTGAAATGGATGGAAACCATATGGCTACAGAGAGCCTGTCCTTCATTAATTCGTTTTACATGGTAATTGCATCGAGTCCGACAAAGCCGTTGGTGGTCGGACTTGGGGGTTCACAGAGGAAGTTTGAAAAGGACATAGCTCGTGTCCAGGCACTCTTCGTTTCGGAAAATGCGGTGGTAGATATGCCAATTTTCATTTTGAACAAACAGTTTGTTTTTTTCTTTTTTATTGATTAGCAACAGACAACGTTGATTGAACAGAAAGAAGTGACAGAAAGAGTTTTAAAGTACCTCAACACGATAGATGCAATGCTGCAATACATCACTCTACCAAAGAGGAAGGAATCAATTAGACCAATACCACAAAGACCAACAATGTTCACCGAAAGAACGACGAGCAGAGCTAAATACCGACAGTCCACATCAAGGAGTATATCAGCGAAAGTAACAAGGTCTATTTCGTCAAATTCCGACTAACATGTTGATGTATTTTGTATCAATGTAATTGTTGCTGTGGTTTCTTTTGTGTTTCCAGCGTGTATTCTCACAAACCAAAGACATCGAAATGAAAAACAATAATTGTGTTATTTTTAAAATTATTTTTTAAATTATTTGGTTGTGATATATTGAAGTAAAGTATTTAAAGAAACTACAGTAGGAGGAAATATATGGGGATGCTAGAAAAAGGAGGATGCTCGTAACTATTGGTTAATTTCAATTGAAAAATAATAAAATTACTATTAATTTTAATATAAATTATTAATCAAAAAATTAATAAAATGATAAAACCAAAATAAATTTATATTAATTATTTATTATTAATAATATTAAATTAATTAATATTTAGATTAGCGTCCCACTTTTTCCATTAACTGTATAAAATTCGAATTACAATTGTATTTTTAATATTTACAATTAAAATTACTATGAAACAAAATTATTGATCTTATCCCCTGACTTGAGACTTATCTGCGAGTTTTTGAACACTCTGAATGAACCTCTCTTTAACTTTTTTTACTGATTGAAGAACTTTTCTGTATTTATAATTTTTTTATTTTGTCTTAACTAGCATGAGTTATGTAAATAAAACTATAATTTAATTATTCCACAATAAACCTATTTTTATATTTGACAATAAATAATAACATTTTACATAGTAAAAAAGCCATATTCTAGTCACAAAATTAACCAAAAATTTTGTGACAAAAACCAGAAGCACAACTGATTTTGTTTTACAGTTTGATGGAAAGTGAGTTAAGTTTCAAGAGTTTGTTTTTCTTCTTGTATTCACCACTAACATTCAGTCGTAGTTGTCGGTGATTCTGGTGTTGGCAAGACTTGTCTTTGCCAACGTTATGTTAATAATGGGTTTACTGGTGGTGACAAGCCGACCATTGGGGTGAATTTGAGTTATTCGATGCTCAAGATAAGTGGCACAATGATTAAAGTTGAGTTATGGGATACGGGTGTGTTCTTTCTATTTATTATTAATTAATAAATAAATTAATTAACAACTAGCTGGTCTTGAGAAGTTCCAAACGATCCCATCACTCTTTTACAGGGGATCTATTGGTGCTATTGTAGTGTATGATCTGACCAATCGGGAGTCATTCAGCCATGTCCAAAGTTGGATAGAGAAGTATCAAGAATTAGGTGGGATGACCAACATCCCGCGTTCAATTTTATTAATTGGAAACAAGTCTGATGTTCTTCAAGAGCGTGAAATTGAGTCACAAGAAGGTGAAGATTTAGCAAAAAGTATGAAGACGCTCAACACTTATTTTTTTGAGACTTCTGCAAAAAGTGGCAAAAATGTGACTGAGAGTTTTAATCAGTTCATACAAAATATATATCAGATATACATTCAAAACCACAAAACGGCGTCTCCAGAGAAGCCTCTAGATATCGAGAAGAAGCCACAAGTCGAGACCCAACAAAGCACTGGGTGTTGTTAAGACTGTTTTTATTTGTTTTAAAAATTTTCGTACTGAACTCCAACGACAAAATGTGTCAATCAATTGATATACTGCGTCGCAACACACACATTCATCCTAAACAAATCATCATCGACGCAAGTGTCATAATCACTGAGCTTTCATCGGGGTCGTCCATGAAGATTTCGTCGGGGATTATTTTACACCTGCACTTATTTAAAGCTTTTTGGACAAATGAATAATTCACTGATGCACTGCCCTATTCATTACTCGTATTTCTTATGAAAGAAAACTATTAAATTTATTAAAGAACAAACACTCGACAAGAACTTGGCGTCTAACAAATCGGGTCTTCTCTTCGCTATTATCACTCCAAACGCTTTCCCATCAGTAAACGTCTGCGCAAAGTCTTCTAATTGAATGCCAGACCCTTCTAACATTGCATTCACCCATACTAATAACCCATCCATCCCACGTTGTTTCATGACAGTCACTTTCCTTAAGACAAAGATCTCAAAGAACGCCATGATCAGTTTCACTGTCTCCGCATCGTTTCCTCTGATGATGTCCATCGGGTCGATACTCACTAAAACGTTGTCCAAAGACAAAAGTGTTGCTATGACCGTCCCAATGTTGTGTATCTTGTCGCACATCTCACTCGCATTCTCCTTCACTTGCAACTTATTCCCAGACAATTTCTCAAAGAGAGTTGTGAACAAACTCCCATCACTGAAATCACTGATTTTCACAGTCTTTCCTAACACATTTGTAACAAACTCAACACACACAGCTTGTCGCATTGCTTTCTGATTTAACGACTCCGTCGGACAGTCGGACAATATGAGTGGTTCTCTCTTCCCAGCCGCTGGTTTATGGCTAGAGTTATCTTTCGAAGTAGTTGGTGCCGTCACAGCGGTTGGTGGTGGTTTTCTTGTGATACCAGTTGGTGCTTCTCTTCTTGTTTGTTGTTGTTGAGGAGGTGGAGCAAATGGGTTTTTAGTAGAGTCATTGTTTTGTGACTGGACTTGTGAGTTAAGTAAGAACTCGAGTTCTTGTCTGCTCTGGACCAAGTCTTGGATGACAAAGTTAATAGCTTGGAGCCAATAAGAAAGTGTTTTGTAGTCTCCCAAGAGACCTGTAGTTTGTTGGGACTCGAAGATTGAGAGACAGAATTGTGATGGGGTCTCTTGCTTAATAGAGTTACTTACAATGCTTTTGATTGGAATCCCAGCAAATGGCTTTTCCTTCCTTTTCACGGACTGTTCGTTTTTGAAAAAGAGGATATTGTCCTTTGTAAGGATCCATAGACATGGTGATGAATATCCTTTGCGATACCCAGTGTTACTCAATATAATACTCATTCTTTTCGATATTCAGTTTCATAGTTCTTCCTGGTTTTTCTTTGAAGTTTTTTAGTAGAAGAAAACTTAATCAAAGTAATTAATACTATTATTTTAACTAGTTTTTGGCGAGTCATTTGTAAATCGTTTACAAAACGTCAGTTTAAATGAATATGGGGAAATTGTTTGTAACTATTTAATATAATTATATATACTAAAAATTAACTAAAGTTCAATTAATGAAATGAGAATGATAAATAGATAGAAGATGATTATTTAACAAAATGTATGTGAGAAAACGGGTATTTTACTTTAATTAAAAACATATTAAAAAAATGACATATTGATTTGTTATTTCCTCTTTAGTTTTGGAAATTCAAACGGGACAAAAAATTTTAAAAGTTCGGGAGGTCTTTGTGTTTTGGGAGTGTTGAAAATATAATTTTTACTATAAATTATAGGTGTAGTGTGTTATTTTTTTTAAATTAAACATTATGTTTTTTTATAATTTTAATATAATAAAATAATTTTTTGAATTTTTTTTGGAAAAAAAAAACTTAGATAAAATATTTTTTTTCTAATACAATTCGTTATTATTTGCCTAAAATATATTTTACGTAACATTATGAAAAACTAATTACAACGACATATTCTTGTTATATTGTTTAGTTATAAAACTGTTGGTTTAATTAAAAATTAAAACTATAATTTATAAATTATTTTTTATAAATTATAGTTACATATAGTTAAAAATGCCGATATGATCAACAATAATTTTAGACGACTTATTGTTCGAAATGGTAAAATTAGAGCGTTTATTGATTCTTTCTAATACAGTAAAACCTCCTAAGAGCGGGAGGGCGTGGTAATTTTGTTCTCTCAAGAGCGGGCATTTTTAGCCAATCAAACCTTAAAAACCGCTCGGTAGAGAACTCTATTTATAGTTTCGGTCTAAAAAATGTCTGCTCTTGAGAACCCGCTCTTTGGAGGTACAGCTCTTGGGAGGTTTTACTGTATGTTGCAAGAACTAACGAAATAATTATTATAGTTAAAAACTAATTAAAAATGTTTTTTCTTGCAATATATTCCAATCATAAAAAAACTATATTAAACTATAATAAAACAAACCAGAAGATTGTTTTATTTAACGAAGTTTTATATTTATAAGTACCAAAACTTCAATAAATTCCAAATCATTATTGTTTATTAGGCCAATACTATGGTATTGATACCATTAAAAACAATTGTTCATAAATAGTGCAAAAAATAAACCAAAAATGTTCAAAACGTTGTGATTTATCTTAAAAAAGAACTCATAACTTTGAAACAGAACAATGGACAAAGTCACTGGCATGATGGATTCGATTAAAGCAAAAACCGAACGTGCAATGAACGGGGAAAAGACTGAAACACCCGAAACAGAATATGTTGCGCTCCATATGAAGTCGATCGATGACCTTGAAACCTTTTTCAAAAAGCATAAAACGTACACCAATAAAATAATTGACTCGTTTGCAACAATCATCGAACAACTCGGTAATCTTGCGGAACTCGACAGAACCAGACTCTCTACACTCCCACAAAACCAAAAGGCAAAGCAGGCGATTTCCGTCAATTTCTTACTCTTTTCACAGGGGTCCTTCCAAGTTTTAAAGGATGAATTGGTGCGGGGATATACGTGTGAGGTTGATGCTATCTTATGCGAAATTGGAGACGTGAAAGGGACATTCCAGAAAAACCAGAGAAAGACAATGGACAATTTGGAAACACTTGTCACCATGAAGTACCAGCTTGGAAACTTGGTTGAAAAGCGAAATCGAGTTATGCAAGACTTCCAATACAAAGCCCTTAACTCCTTCAATAATACAGTGTCAATGTACTTCAATGGCAATGGGCACTTGATTGAAGCTGCTGAAGAAATTGAACCGACGGAAAGTGAAATACAAAATATTCACTTGAGAGGAGTTTCATATGTGGGTAAAACTGTTGGTGAAATCCTTGACAGCGAGAAAAGAAAGCACTACGAGTTGCCCAAAGCAATCGAAGAGATTATTAAAATAGTTCGAGACAATTACTTGGAAAGGGAAGGCGTTTTCAGGACCGCCGCCAGTTTGAAAGAAGTTGATGAGCTCTATCACCGACTGTCTGTTTCAAAGCTAGCCGACTTCAGTTGTGAAACCTTGGTCTCGACGCTGAAGAGATTTGTCAGAGAGCTACCTGGTATGCTTTTCTGTAATTCTCTTGCAAAAGATATGTTAACGACATACCGTTTGTTCTTTTTTATAAAGTTTCGGACCTGCTGATCACCTCAAAGTTATGTCCAACTCTTGTGTTGTTTTACTTCCAATAAGAGTTCAAATTTGTTTCTTAAATACCAAAAATCTCGTTAAAATGACAAGATGACAACAAAAGTCAATACCACAAATAATATTCTATTAACTCTTTCTTATTAAATAAACCAGTTTATAAAAATTCGATCTGAGTACGGAATGAAAAATAACATAAAGGAAGTCGGGGCACAGATGAAGAGAAAATTTCCGCTCTACGAAAGCTCTTCTCTGGGAAGTGGGTGCCTGAGGAGAAAATTGTATTGTTCAAAGCGATTTGTCTTTTGTGCAGCGATATTTCTTCGAGGTCAGACGTCAATTTGATGAACAACAAAAACCTTTCTGTGTGTTGGACTCCAACAATGTTTGCTGTTGGAAACGATGACCTCTCCTCTTATCTCGAAATGATGACTTTCATTATTCAAGAGGCACGACCAATTTTCAATGACCTCAAAATCGGCGCACCAAAACATGAATATGTAATGGCACCGTCAGTGCCTTATGTCCCAATGTCAGTACCAATACCTTCACCAAACAGTCCAAGAAGTTGTGGGTCTGGGGATTCTCCGTCATCCGCAAAAGAAGATCACTCGGTATTTGGTGGGGCTAGAGAAAAGGTTCCAACAAGAGACCCAATGCAAAGGTACCAAGTCAAGCCACAACGACCAACCACTCTAGTAGGAAACGCATTCTTGTTAAAAAGAAAGGTTCCCAAAGAGCCGACGAATGAATCGTTTTTACTTGGCGAAGTTAATTGAAAAGTGAATTTGTATTATTTTGTTATTAGTATTCTATCTATATATTATAATACATTCAATTTGTATGAGATTTTATTATAATCAAATGTAATTTTATAAATAAAAACTATTGTATAATTTATAGTAATAATTAATACTATAATAATAATTAATAAATATTTATATCAATAAAGTATACTATATTATATATATAATAAATTATACAATAAATGAATTAGAATAAAACACAAATGAGTTATACATAAAGTAAACTAAACAATCAGAAGTGAGAGTACGTTCCAAATGAAGAATAATGGCCAGTATCTCTGACCATTGTTGTGAATCTTCTTGGGTCAGCTATTGGTGGCCTCAGTGATATTCTAGGTGACATTGAAGAACTTGGTGATTGTAAAGATGACGTTCTTCTTGACTCTTCAGAGTCTGAATTAGACCCCCAAGATATGATGTTGTCTTCTTCAGCACATCTCCACGAGAAATTTGTTTGAGCAATGACTTTGAGTGGTTTGTTTTTGAATGGATTTGGGTACACCGTGTTAAGGACATACCCACACTTTAATGCTCTAATGAAAGCGGTGAAGTAATTATGATGGATTGAGAAGAACCGATCTCGAGTTTGTAAGTAAAAGAGACTATATTGGTTTCCATAAACTCTTCTAACAACGTCTTCCATAGAAACGTCTTGAGGAATGAGAGGCAGTGGTAGACTCAATAATTCTTGTTTAGTAGTTTTTGATTTAATGAAGGGATGAGTTAAAGCCTCTGAAGGTGTTAATCTTTTGATTGGGTCATAGTCGAGGACTTTTTTCAAGAAGTCGTAGAACATTGCTCTCCATTGTCCGTCATTTTCTCGAACAAAAGCGTTTCTGTGGAATGGGACGTTTTCACAAATTTCTTTTAAACTGGTGTATTTGAAATATTTTCTGTTTTCCGCCAATTTGACATTATTTTCACGTTCATATTCAGCTCGACTTTTCATAATATACACCACCTTTCCATTTTGAGTAATTCCATTGTAATATTTACACGTCTTTGTTCCTTTTTGTAATAAGAAATCTGGAATTGGCCCTAAGATCTCTGTAATTTTGAGGAGTTGGTTGTATTCATTTTCGCCCGGGAATAATGGAATACCTAAAAATAGTTCGGCCGCTACACACCCAAAGGACCACATATCAATCGCACACGAATATGGCAATCCAAGAATAATTTCAATTGCTCTGTAATGCCGGGATTGAATGTAAGTGTACAGAGTCGACCGCTCAAAACACGCACTTCCAAAATCAATCAATTTAATGTCTGCTGTATTTCCAATTAATAACAAATTTTCAGTTTTAATGTCACAGTGAATGATATTCATCGTGGAAAGGCCATGCAAACTCTCCAAGACTTGTCGAAGAACTTGCCGATTAAATGTGAGGCCCATACCTACGTTGTTGTGACTCCGTAACACATCATATAAACTTACTGATAACAACTCGGTGACTATACACACATGACCATAATACAAGAAATAATCAACCATTTTAATGGTATGGTACTTCCCTTCGGTATCTACTAAATCACGCAAAGCAGTTAACACGGCTATTTCCAACATCCCTTGCCGGAAGAATGCTAGTTTGGAACGAAGAATTTTGATGGCAACAAGTGTGTTATCTTTACAATTGCGACACTTAAATACTTGCCCAAACGTCCCACTTCCTAATGAAGATATGACTACATATTGCGATTCGGGAATGTACGAACATCCGTCTTCTCTTGTTATTAATATCAATTTCGTTGAAGATTTTATAAATTATAGTCAAACAATGTTTTATTATTAGGATATAGTAAAATTAGTTCTCTTTAATATAGAACTACTATTGAATATATTGATATTAAAATTCATTAAATAGATGTTGTTCTATTATCAGAAAGACTAACAAACTCTTTGGAATACATGGATCCGATGTAATCATCAACTGCTACTATCAACCCATACCCCGCATTGTCTTTTCCATTGTTTCTATATGGCTCTGACATATCAGTCAGATACTTGTAACTGTTTAGTGGGCGTTGTTGTACTTTTAAAGTCGTAATTAAGTCGAGAGTTAAGGCATACAAAGGCCTTTTGTGTTGGGAAGCAAAACGAAGTGTCGAGTCAACACTTTCTTTGCGGAATGCAGAAGCGTGTGAAAATGGATTTGAAGCCATCGGGACTTGTTCCATGATATGTGATTGTGTTTAATTTTCAGTCTTTTTGGCATTTAGTTTGAAGAAGGAATAGAGACCTCTACAACTTATTTTGATTTTTTTCTTCTTCTAAACACAAGAAAGCCAATTGGTATAGTTACAATTAATTATAATTAAACTATTTAAACATTAAAAACTCACTTTTGTCTGTTTTTATAGTTACTAGATTTTTTATAAAACTTTTTTGTTGTCTAATGAAAAAGAAAGTCCTCCATTTATAGTAGTTAAGATAATTAAGTTACTTATTAAATATAAAGGAATAGATAGATGTGAATTAACGGGCATTTTCTGTTTTTAACTTTATGGTCTACATTATCTGAAAATGCCATTATTCACTTTTTCTTGTTGAATTTAAAAAAAACAACGAATAGTTTTTTGGGACATTTCGAACAGTATTTCGGGTTTCTCGGTGGAAATCATAAATCATTAATTTAATTAAAGTAAAAAAATGATTCGAATATCTCAACAATTTTTAATTTATTAATTAAAATATTATTAATATTATACTATTATTCAATAATTAGTGAAGTTCAAAACGATTACAATTTCACACTTTTTTAATAAATGATATAGTAATAAATACTATTATATATTAGATGTTAATCAAAATTAAATGCCATTCACAAAATGTTTTTAGTCAAATTATCTTTTTCTAAACTATAATAGATTAACAATGTTTATTATTATTTAATGCAATAAATAAATAAATAGAATAAAAAGGGTTAATAAATTAACTTTAATAATTTATGAAATTGATAATTAGACAAGTCACGAGATAATAAAAATGCTAATCTCGAAATAGCAAAAGATGTCGACGTCACAAGAAAGAATTTTAGAAAATCGCGTGAAGGCGCTTGAACTTGTCATCGATCGAGTCGAGTCGGGGAATATCCCACACACACTCGACCTCCCTTCTTACACTTTTCCTCGAATTAAAACAGAAGCTCTTCCATCAACACAATACACAATCAATATTCAACCGCCCGAACAATTTCAAATTGTTTCATTCGTCGACGAACAACAACACCAAAATGTTCAACCCCAATTGTCCGACGCATACTTCAAAGAAATCCTTTCAACTTTACCAGACGAAGAGGAAAGCGAAGACCCAAAAGTTGAAATTGTTCTCAAAGAGATGCAGCGCTGCGAAGAAACCATCGAACAACAAAAGTTGAAAATCATTGCACTTGAGACAACGCTTTGTTACCTCAACGACGAGTCTATTGAGGTCAAAGCAGTCTTTTTGAAGCAAGGCGAACTCGAGATGGAGAAGAAAGTGTTACTTGAGAAGAACGAGAAACTTTTTAAAAAGTGTGATTTGTTAACGAGTGAAGTTGAGAGTTTATTGAATGTCAGAGAAATGAACGCGAACATCACCGCGAAGTTGTCTGCGTTTAAATATGAGCTTGAAAATTTAATGAAAGAGAAGGAAGACCTTGTAGAAGAGAAAAAAATGATTAAAGAGAGTCTCCAAACGGCAGAAGAGAAGCTTAAAACGGCCGAGAGAGAACTTGTCAATACGAAGGCCGACACTGAAAAGGAACTCACGCGACGAATAAGTATTGTATCGTCTGACAAAGAAAAGATGTATCAAGGCGAAAGAAGTCGATTTCAAACGACCATCAACACTGTTCAAAGGCAACTTCAAGAGAAAGACACCGAAATGGAAAAGAGAGTGCAAGAGGTCTATGGACTTGTTAATACGTTGAAAGAACAACTTCAAGAAAAAGAAAGTGAAATAGAAAAGGAGAAAGAAAGAACCGCGGCGGCTATTGAAAAGAGCAGCGGACTCATTGCAGCGAATGAAGAAACACTGTGTCAAATTGTGAAAGAGAGAGAAACGTTTAAATGTCAAATGAAAGAACAAAATGAATTACTTCAGAAGACAAAAGCAGAGAACGACAAAATGACTGCGCAAATTTCGGAGTTTGGGAATAACGTGAATACCCTCAAGAACAATTTCTATGCAGAATTTAAGAAGGAGAGAGAGAGTCGAATTGTGGAAGTTGCAAAATTGAATACAACGATTCAGGAACTTACAGACGCGAAGAGTCAATTGGAGACTCAAGTTGAAGAACTTAAAAAACGCTGTGAAACGGCTGAGAACAAGTGTGTTAAGTCTGTGGTTCAACAAACAATTGTTCCAAATAATAACACTCAACCGGTTCAAAGTGAAACGTTTAAACAAAACGTTCAAGCAGTTGAAACAAACTTGGAGAATAAAGTTGTAATCGAAGAACCAAAGCAACAAGTTAAAATGGATGAAGAACACAAAGTTAAAGAACAAGAAGTACCACAACTTGTTTCAAAAGAAGTACAAGAAGTCGGTAAGGACTTAGCAAATGTGGAAGTAAAGGAAGTCCAAAAAGCCGTGGATAATACAGAAGAGCTTCGTATGAAGAAATTGGAAGCACTCCCATTCTTTAAACCACCAACAAATAACGTTTTTGCTAATAAACCAACACAACAAATTGAGAAAAAGATGGAAGAAGAGAATAAACCATTAGCTATTGCGATTACTAAACAAGAGTTGCCTATTAAAAGACAACCAGTTGAAACACCCGTCCCAATCGAAAAGAAACGAGTTGAAACTGCGGAAGAAAGACAAGAAAGAAGAAGACGGAAATTCAATATGCCAATGACTCCATCATCATCAAGCATTGTCACAACACCAACAACTTTAAATACAACGGTCGTCCAAACACAACAAGCGCCTGTGGTATTACCAAAAAGAGTTGCTGCAGTCGACGAGGTAGTTGCTCAACAAATTGTCCCACAACAAATTCAGCCTCAAACACCACAACCAATTCAACAACAAAGTAATGTAGTGGAGGAGAAAATTATTCCGACTGAAGAAGTCAAAGAAGAGACTTTGTCACCAATAAAAGCGGAACCAAAAGCTACTGAACAGAAAGTCGAAGACAAAACAGAGCAAAAGACTGAAGAGAAAGTTGGTGAAAAGGTGGAACATGTTGAAGTGAAAGAAAATGTCGTACAAGAACAACCAAAAATAGAAGACCAAGTGAAGGAAGTACCACAACCAATTGAAGTACAAGTACAACCCCAAACTATTCAACCAGAAAACACTTTAACGACTGTAAAAGAAACAGTTCAATTAACTAATACAATTGAGAAAATGGACGAGGACAAAGGTTTGGAGGGGACAAAGTCACAACCAATGGAAACACAACAAGAAAAGATGGAAGAAACACCTTCAACGTTCTTTGGGTTTGGCGCCAGTGGTTCAACTCCATTTTTCAATTTTCAAAAAACACCACAAAGTGTAGAGTTTGGTTCTGCATGTATGGATGAGGTGCCTGTGCATGTTGGGATGGAAGAGGATGACACGAAAAAAGAGGAGAAGAAGACAGTGATCGACGAGTCTACAAATTTGGTGGCCAGGTCACAGTTTGGGAGTGAAATGGTGACGAGTGCAACCAACTTCTTCACTGGAACGGATTTTTCAAAGCCAACTTTTGATTTTGGGAACATCTTCAATCAACCACCAAAGGAACAAACGCCACCAATGTCTTTTGGTTTTGATGAATTGGCCCTTAGCGCGCCACAAACACAAAGTGATGTGATTGGAGACAAACAAGTTCTCAACACCGTCGAAGTAGTCAACGGACAAGAAAACGCCGAAGAAGAAAATGCGGAAGACGGTGATTTCGAAGACAACGAACAAGCAGAAAAGACAAAGAAAACACACAATGAAGAAATAGAAGTAGCAAAAGAAATTGAAGAAGTCGTTGAAGAAGAAGACACAAACGAAGAAGAGAATACCAACGCCCGACAAACCGGCAATTTTTATGCTCAACAAAGAAAAATAAAGAAACAACAATTATTGAAAAGAGCTGGAAAGCCAATTGTTGAAAATAAAGGTAAACCAAAATTTGTGAAAACAAGTCACAAAAAGGGTGGAAAAAAGTAGCTAAACGATTGATTTTTTTTATTAATTTGAATTGCAAAAAGTTTAAATTATTAAGGACGTTTATTGATGAAGGTTGTTGGGTTGAATATACTTTTATGATTTAACTTCTTTTTACATATTGGAGGTGGGAAAGGTATTTAATAACGGTTAATTGCTTTTCAAAACAAATTAGAAACAACAAATTGGTCAATCGCAAGGTTAGATAAAAGGGTAAACCGATGAACAAATTTACTATTGAATTGTGTTTGGGTTTACTTTTTGAAATAGAGAAGCAATAATTATTTGGAGTTTATTGAGAGAACGACAATCACGAGAATAAATTAAAGCATAAAGTTTGAATTGAGTTTACAATAAATACATTTATAAATGTTGAATGAAAATGATTCTTTTGTTTGGAAAAACGAATACAGTTTTTTGAGAAGATGCGAAATCGTCAATTCATTTTAATTTGAGTAAAATGTCAAGTTTTATAAGTCAAAAAATGGTCATTTCTATATCAGATAACGAATAGTTGAAACAATATTTAGAAAATGAAATAAAAAGTGTTATTTTTTGAAAGTACCTTTTTGAAAAAGTTCGATTAAAAATGGTTGAGATGTTTGAAAATATTTGAATATTAAAAGATAATGTTTGAGCATTTTTAAATTAAAGAATTTGTTTCAAATAACTTGGTTGTTGTCCATTTATTAATTGTATGAGGGATGTAAAATGTGAATCAAATTAAAAACAATAATTGAGAAATAAGTATTATTTCACAAATAGCAAAACAATTTGAAGCACTCGTATGAAACATCATTTTAATAAAGTAATTACAAAGTTAAATAATAAGTATTGAAACCCCATTTTTGAAACATCAAACTAATTATCATCAGCTTTTTTTGTATAACAGAAAAACTTCTAAGAGCGATTATATTTAGATAATCCAATTAATTGATCTATATTTGAATCTTTGAGGATGCAATCGGCAAAATATGATAAATGTTATAATGTGGCATGTTTTTAAAAATAATGCTATAAAGTATTTAAATAACAACTATATATAATGTGCACGTTTGTTCAACAATCAAATATGCAGGCAAAAATATTTCAAAGGGTTATCTTAAAACAGATATTATATCTTCCCGATTATTGTCATAAAACTGTATAAATGTTTATTCTAAAATATTTGGTAGACAACGGCATTGATGTTTTATTAAAAAACAAAGCAGCGGATTGATGTTTTTATTGGTTGAATATAAAGCAACTTTATGGGACAAAACAATATTTTATACCATCACAACCAAAACGCAAGGCTTTTTTTTATTTTTATGTAAACATTTTTAATAAATTATTTCGAAATGATTTTTTGAAATGGAAGTCTTCTTGTGTACGAAATCCATGATGGCCGCATTGATAGAATTCTTCAGAAAACTTCATGTGCGCCATTTTCGGTTAAGCTGAATACCTAACTTTCATAAATATGAGGGTACGATTAAAGAAACTTCCCAAGAAGACAGACACATGACAGTATTACTTTTTTAAATGAAACAAGTTAACCATTTAATTATGATATTAAAATTATTATATATAGTTTTTTTCTAAGTTTTTTATCCACACCCACGAACAAATAAGGTTTGATTTGAACTATAAATAGGGGTGATTAGGCTACAAATTATCATTGTAATGTCTTGCATGAGAAGCACTAAGGAAGTAATGCGGTCTGAAAGACGTGAACGGTACTCGTATGGGTCTCTTCGAAATCATCAAGCTTGTGTTGAAGCAGTTATGCTTTCCTTCTTAAATCAATTTGCTGAAATCACCATTAAACAGCCACTTGGCAAATCTTCAGTAGCACTCTCCTTCATCCCTATCAAAACAATCGCTTTCAGTGAAACGGACATTATAGACGTTGAAAAATTTATTGAGCAAAGACTTGAAGAAATAATGGTGAATGATCAACTTAAGGGAATTCCAAAAGAAACTGCTAAACAACGAAAGAAAACAAACCGGTTGATTGTCACCGTTGATTATCTAAGTGACTTGGTGGCAGAAAAAGGTGCGATTTATAATATGACTCGATCAAATGGAAAAAATGAAACGATGGTAGTTGAGACGTATTGGGGAATCAAATTTGGAGACATCTTTTTCAATAAAAAGCAAATTGATTCAAAAGGAAGAAAAATCAATAGAAAATTGTTGTCACTCGTCGGGACTAAAGTTCAAAGTTTTTGCTTGTGTGTTGACTCAGAAAACTTTTACATATAAATCAAATTGTTTGTTCGGCTAATTAACATTTCATTGACGTATTATTTTGCTGGTATTTTTTGAAAAATAATGTTTATTCAATTTAATAATTGAAAAGTTTTTATATTGTATATTTTATATATATATATATTATAAATAATACATTTATTAATATTTCATATTTTTTATAACGGTTGGTGTAATATAATTGATTTTAGCTAAACAGAATACTTAGAGTCTATTATTTGAGAAATATAATTAAAAGATATGAAGAAATGAATATATTTTGACATAAAATTTCATTATATTTTTAATGAAAATTGAAAAAAAACTAGAGTAACATTTGACAGAACAATAAAATTAAAAATGATAAGGGATTAATAATTGAAATAAAACTAAATAAATAGAATTAAAATTAAAATTTTTTGAACAATTTTGTTCAAAATGTAAAATTTTATTATTGTTTTTTGAGAAAGAGGATTTACAGTTTGACTCTTTCATTTTTAAATTTTACTCATAAAAAAATAAAATAATTAAACATGTTTTATAAAATAAAAAAGAAATGCAGGATAATAGTGAGAGTTCAAAATATATAAGATGTAAAATTTCAATCGACTGTTAATAATTATCATTTATAATTGATATTCATATTTCAAATAATAATAATTGTCATGTATCAAAACAATGTTACTTGTATTATTTAACTTATATGTGGAATATAAGTTGACCTATTTTGCTTTAAAAAAAATTAAATATGTTTTTTATTGATAATAACACAAAGATTACACAAATATTTATTGAATATTTTACAATAATCAACCATATCAGCATTTAAAATGTTAAGTAAAAACAGGTAATAGTAAATGTTTTATTGTAATTGCAATATATTACAGATACAGGAAAAACCAGGGACCAGACTAAATTAAGCTGTTTTATTTTTGGTAAATAGTTTCCTTGTTATGGAAAAATCCCCAAATAATCAGGTTTTTGGAGGATATGTTGGTTTATTTTCAAAAACCAGGGACCAAGTATTAATAGACACACTATTTTTCAAATAAAATAGAAAAAACTATAAAATATGAAACTCTTAATTAATCATTTGAAGCTGCCTTTATTGTTAATGCCCAGCCGAGCCAAAGTAAAGTTTGTTCTTTATATTGATTTATCTTCCGTTGTTTAATACGTTTAATGATCATCCATCATTTACTGAATGTCTAACATTCCAATAATTTATTTATTCTTTACTTTATTTTCATTTATTGCGTGAGTCACTTTTAATACTGAACGAAAAGTGACTCATTGAATCAACCTAGTCTTCTCTATTCTACTCATTGAATAGAGAAGACTACAACATCTTCTTTGAAAAAATGAATGAACCATTTAATTGAATGGTTTTGTTGAAGTTAAACAAGGTCGAACAAAAGAATAATATTTTATAATTAAATAATAATTAATAATAATAAACTTACGATTATAACTCACATTAATCTATTGTTTATTCATACTTTATACAACACATTCATTTTTTTTTCATCCCGAATAATAACCGTTTTTAAGCCCAAATAATAAGAAAATTACACATTTATTTAAATATTTGCCTGTTTTATTGTATAAAATCCGCTTAATATTCAATAGCTAAAATTAGTCTGGTCCCTGGTTTTTCCTGTGGTCCCTGTTAATTCCGCTATCTGTACAACTTTTATATAATAAAATTTATTCATTTTTGATAAAAAACAAGTCTTTTTTTGAAATTGGAACCAAAATTCAAAGTACTTCTCTATGGAATAGTCTTCTTATGATACTTTATTTGTTGTGATTTAGCTGTTGATAGTGAACACTTATTAGATAGTCAAGTATTGATATTGAAAAAAAAAATAAAATTGTTTAAAATAAAAAATTGCTTAGAGCCATTTCTAGTAAAATTATTTTTTCTGATTGTTTAAAATAAAACAATAAGAACAATGGCCACAAATCGAGTGGAAGTAGAAAAAATCTAAACCATGGAATCATTTAACCCAAAAGTTGAACACAACATAATTTAATTCTTGATAACTCAGTTGTGATTTTACTGTTTAAAAAAGCAATTATCTAAAAGCAACAATTTAATTTTCAATACACGTGTATTTTGTTTTGTTATCACGACTTGTTTTAAAAAATGTATTATTGATCCGAATTAGGCTTTTAGTTTCAAGTTCGCCTTTACTATAAACCATGCAAAACTAAATCTGTGACTATCATATATATGAAAGAAAGCTCGTTTGTAGTTTATGTTTTGTTATAAAAAACAAATTAAAACTGTGTTTTTAAATTGGTCTTTTTCTAGTTTATATTCTTAGTCAAACCACTCAATACAAAAAGGTACTTTCCCTAAGATTTTTTGGTTACTTAATAACAAATCACATAAATAATCGCCAAGTAAATACCACCATTTTTCCCAAAATGACAGTTTGGCACTCCGTTTTGTTTGTTTTATGTATTACCGTTTTACCTCAAAAAGCGAGTTGTTTTTTCATTAAAGTGTTTGTGTGTATAAAAACGGGCCATTTAATTAAGAAAAAAATATTGTTTTAATGATTACCAAAACTATTGAATTGCCGTTTTCTGTTAAATTTTCAAGTGAAATTATTCCATGTCAATAGTTAATGAAACTATAATTTGGAACCATTTGAAGTCAGTTTAAAATAGTTGTTGACTTTTGTGGCTCAAAATAGAAAAGAGAACAAATTAGAAAATGTTTTTTTGGTGAATGAATAGAAATAGATAATTTCTTTTTCGATAGAATAATGCTTTCTTTGTCAGTAATAAATCGGGTACAATTATTTGTGACGTTTTTATTCATCGAAATGTCCCGAATTACACGGCCATAATTTCCTGTCACATGTTGTAATAATCATTAAATAGTTTGTGGTTTCCTCGAAAAGTCTTTGAAAACACCACTCTATTTATATTTTGACACTTTTTGATAAATGCGGCGTTTTTTAATGTTTGGTTAATTGTATTCCAAATAAATAACATTTGTGGTAACAAAAACATTTGTATGTCAGAAAAAATCAATTCCCCGAAACTTGCTTGAAAATCCAAAAAAAAGGCGAAAAATGAAAAAAAAAAGAAAAAACGGGCCAATCACCGGAGCCGTTTTTTTTATTTTTTATACTTTCCGTTCGATTTTGTTCGCTCTTGATTTCATTCCATCAAGAAGCTTCTTTCTTTCTTCGAACGTTCTCTTCAAAAAAATAAAGAACTTTTTTACAAATAATCACGAAAATAGACGATTTTAACCATACAAATTATAGTAAAAAACCATCCTTGTATAATATCTTTCCGAAACGCGCCGAAAATCCTTCATGAGTTTTTTTAAACCAAAAAATTTATATTTGAAAAAGAAAAAAGCTATACAACAAATTATAAAAAACTACAAGCGAACTATACTGTCAAATGAAAAAAATATTTTGAATTTTAACTTTTTTCTCTTTGATTTGATGATGTGTCTGTACATGGAAATTTGAGGGGTGGGATGAACTCGAAAGTTACAGATGTCCGTGAAGCTGAGTGAACTTGTTTCAAACCTTGTGAACGACAAAAACGAACCTTCAGAAGTCGAAATGCAGACGATAGTAAATGCCGTTGAACGTGTCATTGGCGCAGACACAATCCTTCGTCTCCAAATAGAACAGAAGATGCGAAATTACACAAAAAAGTTGGTGTTACAAGCCGAGATGATTAACTGTTTGACCTTAGCGAATTATGTGGTTCAGAACTCGCCTACATTCAGAACACAAGTCTGTGAGTTGTCGTTTCTTACACTCCTCCAACAAGTTGGGAAGATGAGGAAAGTGCATACGGAGACCGACGAAGTCGAAGATAAAGTTCGAGAATTGATAGCCGTCTGGGGGTGCTTCTACCCAAATGAATTGTCCGAATACGCCGTGTTGTATCAGAAGTACTGCTCACATAAGGTTATCGATCCTAAGACTAAACCAACTGTATTCTTACCCAATGAAATCACACGACTCATCCCTCACGTAGAACACAATTTAAGAAATGTTGTTCGTGCCATTGAGTGTATGCCTTATGATGTAGAGAATGTCTTTAACTACGCCTCGAAGATATTGATGTTTGTTACTTCTCACTACCTGTCTTATTATCATTAATACTATTATTAATACTATTTCTATAACAATATATTTCTTTCAATTAACGAATTGTTAGTGCTACGTGAATTAACACAAGCGAATAATTTGCAATGTGGCTAATTCTAAATTTAACTTTAAATGTCATATTTATATATATTTATTAACATTTATATTATTTGGTAATTCATTAATTTAATATGTTAGAACACTATTAATATACAGCAAATTTGACCACGAGTGTCTCAAGTGTCGCGACCATAAAGATAAGTACGACGAAGAATCGTATAAAGAAATGGAAGCAATCGGCAAAAGGCTAACGTTCAATTTGAAGATATTGAAACAAAAGATGGACAGCAGGAAAAAGAAGAACAACAACAACTTCCCTGAGACCAAATTTTCAAGTGGAAGCGCTTTACTTCAAAATGCGATGTCGACTACAGACACAGCTATTACTCGACCAACTAAGGCTTTAAGTAGTTCAGGCATCTTTGTCCCTCAAAAGACTAAAAGACGAAGTAAAGGACAAAGCCCTGTCTCCCACAGCTTTGTGCTCCCTGAGACGTCATTTCAAGAGCGCCAATTTCAGTCCTCATCAACATCAGGACTTCAGAATAGCTCGTCATGCCACTTTGTAATGACTCCTCCCTTCTCCCCAGAAAAAGGGGCGGATCGAGTGGATACCATGTCACCTAATATGTTCGACTTTGACGAGGAAATGGCATAGCTCTGTGTATTTCTTGTTATTCATTTGTTATTTTTCACTTATTTTGTTTTTATACTATAATATATTAATATATATTATATTTTATTAATTTATCTTATATTATATTAAATAAAATTATTATATTATATATTAATTTAAAGAAGTGTTGTGTACAAAAGAAGTTAAAAGGTGAATTAAAGGACTTGAATGACAGTATCATCCTTAAAGGCAATAAGTGGGTACAAGTCTTCTTCGTAAACATTGACAAAGACATCATCGTCTTTCACTTTTCCTTGTTCGAAGGAAATGGTGTTTGTGGCAGGATTGAAGGTTGTTGTTACTACGCCATCATTGAAGACAAAGTTTGAACGTTGCTTTTTGGTCAAGTCAAGCGGACCAATGTAAGTTCTGTCGTACATTAAGACTTTGGTTTGATCTGATATGACAGAAATGTTGCAATCGAGAGGAATGGGTTGGTTCAAAGTTATAAAACCAATGGAAGCCTTACCTTGAATTACACGAATAGAAAAGGAGTTGATTGGAATGTATAAAAAGAGGAGGGCATATGGCTTGTTGGGTGCAGTCTCACGACACTCAATTTTTAAGCCATCACGATCAAAGTGTAATTGCTCACTTGCAAAACTATAGTCGCCAAACCACAACATCTGACGGAGAACACGTTCTTGATCATTAATTCGCGTCTTAAGAGACTCAATTTTCTTGTCGAGCACGTCTTGTGTTTCAGCCATCTTTTGTTACTTGTTTTAAAGTTTATATAGATGATTGGGTTTTTATTAATATAATTATATCGGACAATTATTATATTATTACGTATATAAATCATATTTTATTTACCGGTATACATACACAATTAAATCCTTATGTATTTTTTGGCTTCAATTTGAGAAGTGAATTAATACATATTCGTATTTGAAATCTTTATAAAAAAAATAAGTCACAGTGTTTAATACACATATGTAATAAAAATAATTAAAACACTTTTTTTACACACTTGATATATTATGTTATATTAATTTGAAATACTAAAATTATAATAGTTAAATCACTTGTTTTTAATTATTTTAAATTAAAAATAAACAACTTTTGAATAATTAAATTAACTATTTGAATTACAGTTTACTTCGAATAAAATACAAGAGATATGTATTTAATTGTAATAAATATAGTTATTTAATTAATTGACACAATAACACGATTAATGAATGTGTTAAGTTTTCTGTGTTTTAAAACAAAACAACTTTATCTATTTTACACACCTTCTTATACAATAGTAGTTAGATAATAAACATATAATAATATGTTAATACATTTATAGTAAATAAGTTACTATAAGTTCTTAAAAATAGAGTCTTTTTATTTATAGTAAATATGTTCTAATACATATATTAATAAATAAATTATAAATGACCTGAACTAACAAGAGTAAAAAAGAATGAATAAAAATAACAGGAAATACATCAAAGCAGATATGGAGTCTCGAAGTCAGTATCTTCATTGACGTTTTCTGTTCCCAAAGAGTCTGTTGAGAAATACGAATCGGACGAGACGATGACTTGTTTGTTAAATTCGTCTTCATACATAGACACTGTTCTATGGACGGGACTGATGAGTGGTATTCCATTTGAAGGGGGTGGTTTTAACAGTCCGACTGGGTTTTTAATAACAGGGGCCTTTTCTCCAGGCAGAATCCCGATACGTCTATCTGCGATGATGTCCTTTGGGTTTTCACTTTCGACAAAAGGACTTGCGCCGTGTTCTACTGGTGGGACTGTAGTAGTGATGTGATAAGTTCTATTGATATTAATTTGGTTTGCGAGTAATTGTAAACACGATTGGTAGTTATCGACGAAAGCGTTAAGTTTGTCGACCTTTTCCGAGTCGTAGAGTGCACGCTTTTGGATGATTTTAGTTTGTGAGTCGACGAGTTGGCTACTTATTAATTGAATAGTAAAAAGAACTATAAAACAAACCAATTCAAGTCGGTGACTTCTCTGTACAATTGAATGAGTTCTTCGACGTGTGTTGCTGATTTAATAGTGTCTTGGATCTCCTTTTCTTTCACTTTACACGTCGCAATCAATTTTTTAATATCTTGTGGGAGTTGTTCTGCATTTGCTGGGTTGACTCCTTTGACGGGGGACATTTCTGGAAACTTAATTCCAAGTTGTTTGTACTTCTCGTAGAGGAAATCGTACTCTGCGAGTTCATTTGGGAACTTATTGCCCCATTGTTGGATCATCGATTTGATTTTATTCACTATGTTCTCGGGCGTTCTATTTCTCGTGAAGGTCGGTTTGTTCTACAAGTCACTTGAAAGAGTCGACCGACAGACAAGGAACAAACTTTAAACTGTCCAATAGTCTCAAGAAGCATGATGAAGTCGATGTCCAAAACTTGCTTTCTAAATGTGTGCGAATTAACGACTAAATGGTCGCATAAACAAAAGACGTAGAACATCTCTTTATCGCTGATGTTCTTGTCTATGTACTTTTTCATCTTCTCAATCATTTGCGAGCGAAGGGGCTTACACGACGCTTCGACCTTTAATGTGAGGTTTGCAAGGACTTGGAATCGTTGGACGGGTGGCGACGGGTTTAAGTCGCTTACTGCTTGTTGTACTATTTCGCTTAAAGGAACAGACTTTTTTGACATCCACTGATTTCCCAGTTCATTTGTCACATGCACGTAAGAGTTTCGAACGTAATTGGGGATTTTTGATTTGTTGGGAATGAATGATAACTCTGATTATATCGGATTGACTTTGCTTAATATATCGGGATGAAAAGAGTTAATTCACTTTTCTTTGACTGCGGTCTTCTTTTCGTGCCTCCTTCTGCATTATAGGGGATTCAAAGTATAACTTCGTTTAGTTTTTTGTACTATTAAAGAACTATGAAAAAACGGCAATTTGTTCTTTGCTTTTTATGAGATAGAATGAATAGTAAATTTTAATATAAAAATGTTATAATATATTATTCAAATAATTAAGATGTATGAATCGTGTTTGCGATGAAGAAGTTTTGTATTGCGTTATTGAGAAAATAGATCTTTTAATTGGATTGATTGGGTACTTTATAATAATTATGGAGCGGAAAGTAATTTTACATAAGATTCTATCATACGGCGCGTAGTACCATAAAACTATTATTTATAGTTTCATAAATTATATTCAATAATATTTGGGAAATACACCAAAAAAATCTTTGATATATTTTAACATTTAAATAATTCAATGAAAGTGTTGTTTGATAATTGTTTAAATATTCATTGTGGCTTTGATCAAAATGAAATGATAATTAAACAGTGTTTATTTTGATCAAATAATTCAACAACTTACAAGTTTTATTGTGTGATAATATGATATGTATTTTATTTATATTGAATGTTGTTTGTTATATCTCATTAACAACTTTGTAATTACTCATATTATGTTAACAGAATTATTCAAATATCTATTATGATATGTAGATTGTGTGGTTAGTGGTTATTCATTTAACAACATACTAAACTGAGATAATTTGGTTATTATTTATTATTTAGTAAAAAATTAAAAAAGATACAATTTGACTAAATATTTGACTGTATTTATAATTAATATAATATATTTCTAATTACTATTATTTATATTTATTAATAATTATTAAAATAATAATTTAAATAATTAAATACTTGGAAAAAAAATGTTATCCATTACAGTTAGACAAGTTTGCCTTAAATGGAATAGTTTGACTTAAATGGTTCACGTTAATGGTTTAAAAACCAATTATTATAGTAAACAGTGGGTTAAACTAGAAAAAAATTAAATGGTTAAATAAAATAATATTTAAATTATTATTAATTCTATTGTTTTATGTTACACTCTGATCTTGAAAAATAAAACCAAAACACATGTTAAGTATTGTTTTATATGTTTTAACGTGTTTGTTTCGTTGAGTTCAAACACGTCAAACATTTTCTACTTCATTCGAAAACGTTTGTGTTACTTTATATTTATTTTAATATGATAAATCAGCGGTATTTCCTATCGCGATGGAAGAATACTGCTTTTAACTTAATTAAATAATAATATCCATAAAAACGAATTCAACGAAAGGAAAAACTGCCAAACCTGTCAAGAGTGGGATTTATTAAGAATCTCCGCTTGATTTTGGCTAATAAAACGTGGACCCACTCTTTAAAAAGCAAGTTTATGTTATATTCGGGTTTGTTCTTAAGAAATGCCCAAATAATAGAGAACAGCAAAAATAATAATTACACACTCTGGAGAAGTCAGACTGTATTTATAATTGAATTGAATTTGAACTATTATAGTTACTTTATTCGTCAAATATTAATAAAACTTTATTGTTAAGTTCACATTAAAATGTTGATGATGATTATGAATATGTAGTAGTTTATTAGTATCTTTACTGGTTTATAGCTTTCTTATTCTTTATATAGTGTGTTTGGGTTTTTGCTTGCTTTTTATTATTCAATTTTTTATATAAACTTGATTATAAAAAAGCAATTTATTAGTTCAGGTTATAGTTCGAAAAATATTATAATTGAACTATAATTTTTACCATTTAACCCAAACTTGTCGTTTAAGTCAAACTTGTCATACTGTATGTTTTATACCATAACATAATATACTAATTATTTATATAGTTACATATTAATAACTATAATTATAGTTTATCTAATAAAAAACTATTATTAATAAACAACGATAAAATTTTGTTTTAAAAAAATATTAGTTTTTTAGTTTTATTAATAGATAAATAAAAAAAATATAATCATTTTAAGTTTTATAAAAGTATCAAATTTTAATAATAGATTCTAAAAAGTATGATTTTTTAATAATATGAATTCTAAAATCATCAAAAAACTCTAAATTATTAGACCCAAAAATTAAAACAGCAAATTTGTATTATTAAACTACAAAAAGTAGATTTGAATTAATTTAATTTCAAAAAAGTATTTTTGAAAGAATTTTTGAAAAAAGAGTCTTTTTGTGCTTCTAGAAAAGCATATTTTATAAACATGGAGATGTTGTTGTATGTGTTGTTTGCAATGTTTTTGGCTGTAAAAGCCGAGGAAGGCGAAAATTTTGAACTCGATGATGACTACGACAATGACTACAATGAGGAGTATCAACTTGATGATGACGAAGAAGAGTTTGATTACGACGACGCGGTTGAAGACGATTTTGAGGAGGACTATGACGACGATGAATACGACGATGACGAAGAGGAGTTTGATGACGACGAAAATGAATATGATCTCGGACAAAACCCAGCACCCTACGACGACGCTTTATTTTACAACCACATTTTTGGGAATGGCCAATTTGGAGCTCCCTATTTTCAATATGGTCAATACCCAATGAACTACTATCACCCAATGCAGAGAATTTACTAAGTAACTGAATATTGTCTTTTTATTTTACAAGTATCCAACACATTTTAAACAAATGTGTTTGTTTCACCAATACTTTGTTACATAATTTCCTTTCATTTTCTTTCCATTTATGCACTTTCGTTTTGATAATCTCAATCTTCAGACATTCTGACATCTTGAGATTTGAAACTACTAAAGAAAATAAAAAAACTCAATCACTCTCGTCATCATCAAAATCTTCTTCGCTATCTTCCTCTTCCTCTTCACTTTTCTCTTTTTCTTTCATTTCCGATTTCATTGTTTCGCTTTTAGTTTTTTCATTTTTCTCCTCGCCTTCCTCGTTTGAGTCTTCACTCTCGTCATCGTCAAAACTGTCTTTGTCATTCAACTCGTATGCTTTTATAGCCTCATATTTGTTCAACTCTGGATTCTTCTCGAGTTGTCTGTCAAGTGACTTTTTCTTTCTAAGTGAAAGTAATGCGTATTTATAAAGATATTCCTCTTCCTCTGGTTCTATAGTTTTTGGTTTCTTAAATTCTCTATTTGTTATTCTTGTTCAATGTATAGTAAATTGGTAAATAAATATTGTTATATATACAGTATTAAAATTCGTTTTTTCCAAACATAATATAAAAACTTTTAATCAAAACGAATAACATCTCTGATTGATTTTCCCTAACATTCTTCCCAAAACAGTGAATAAAAAAAACTTTTCAAATGCATAAAAAATTATTTTAAACAAATTTGCTGTAACAATCCAGTGTAATTGACTAAGATATAATGACTGAGAAACAAACTTGTAAATTGGCTTTGGCAACCTACACTTAGCACATACTCCCGCCTTTTCCGCGCACTCCTGACACATTGTGTGATAAGCGAATCTGACAACTTTCTGTTTACAGTCGAAGCATACGGCGGGTTGTTTCAAGGGTTTATATTTGTGGAATTTCTTTTTCCACTCGATAGTGTCGTAGCACTTCTGGCACAACCCTTCATTGGGAAGTGCTTTAATCTTTTTGTAAACAGTCGCGCCTTTGTAATCCTTGAATGCAGTTATATTTTGGTGCTTTTGGCCTAATTTCTTTGTGTTTCCTCGTCGTGTCGACATAGAATAATAATTATAATACAGAAACCCTCATTTGTACTAGTTCGCTTTGAGTTTTGTTTTGATGCTTCTCTTGTTATTAAGTATGGTTTTATTATAGTTACATTACTATCTATTTGTAGGTGTTTTGGAAAAAAGATAATTTCATCACACACTCTTATTTCAAAGTCTTAAATAATTTAAACATTTAATGCAGAACACGAACAACCGAAACGAGGCGAGTTTATTCTTCAGTAGAGCAAAGAAAATGATCAAAACAAGATGAAGAGAAGAAAAAAACAAAAAAATGAAACTATAAATAAATGGTATAAAATATATAAAAAAAACCATACAAAAATATCAAATTGAAAAATAGTAAAAATATAATACAATAATAATATATTTTAAAACAAATCCGCCACGTAAGAAAACTTTGAAAGACATAGCGAAGATTGTGATGTCGACGTCCCAAACAATTCAGTCGATCATTTCCGTTTTGTCTGACTTTTCAAAGTTTGTTTTTCCAATCTCCCACAAAATGACAACAAAATGATAAATAGAAAAATTAGTGACGATATGTATGATTTAAATGGTTCAAAAAACAAATCAGTTGAAGAGTCTCTTTCTCCCGAGTTCTTTGAGGACTTCAAAAAAGTTCAACTTCCCCCTAACGTCGCTCCAGAGCTTCAACAAGTTTGTCCCTTTTTAGTTTTTTAATAGTTATTTTACCAAAACTAATAGTAACCATCAACCAATGTGACACACAGATGGAAGCCGAACTCCGGACTATTTATTCACAGTTCATAACAACCAACCCAAACGACACGTCCACATACTCGACGGTTCACAAAAAGCTCTCATTAGTCTCTCAAAAAATCGTTGGTCTTTTAGACGATGCTATTGCTTCGATCGACGGGGAGATTGCAAACACACAACCAGTCACAGCAAAGGATAAAATAGTGCAGATGGTTATCAAAGACTTAAGTGCATTGTAGTGATTGTTAAACTATAACTATAGTTTTATTTATTATTAACTACCACAACCAATACTGTATTAATAAAACATAGTAAAGTATAGTTTAACACTCTTAATAATAAACTAACTAGTAATGACTAGTTTAAATTTCCATTTATTATTATAAACTATTAAACAATAGTTTATTGAGTTTGGTATTTAAAACAAGTGAGGAACTTAAAAATCGCAATGATTTCGAAGAGTGAGAAGCAAAAAGCTGGGGATGTGGTGTGGGGAGAGATGAAAAAAATCAACAGCGAGTTATTGACGATGACGTACGGAGGAATAGTTGTGCAGCTTCTCCGTGAGAACGATTTTGATGCGGACAAAGTGAATGCGGAATTGGAGGACATGGGATATAACATTGGTATACGTCTAGTCGAGGAGTATCTAGCGAAGGTAGAAGGGAAGATGTCGACGAAGTGTATATCATTTAAAGAACACATTGAGTCAATCACTTTTGTTGCCTTTAAAATGTTTCTTGGGATGAATTGCGAGTGTTTTGAAGTTCACGAGAAGCAGTGGCGTATCTCATTACCCAACAACGTGTTGTCCGAGTATGTCCAACTTCCCGACAAGTTAAAACAAAAGTTATGGTATTCAAATATCTATTGTGGTATCATTCGTGGTGCTTTAGAAATGTTGAAATACAAAGTCGAATGTCGTTTTGTCAATGATGTCCTTCAAGGCAACAAGACTTCGACGGAAATCGAAGTCAATTTAGTCGATATATTAGATCAAGCAAAATACGTTAATTACAACTCGTAAGACACTTTTATTATATCTATTCTATTAATTTTATCTCTTTAAAATATAATAGATACAAAATAAATATAATAGATATATAATAGATATAATATAGTTTAATTATATAAGAACAAATCACAAAAGGGAAGAGTGACTTAAATCATGGTTCTTAAGAGTTTATTGATCATAGTTTCACGGTTACCGAAAGCGCCGCCCAAGATGAAGTGGATTTTCTTGTTCTTTCTGGCGAGTTTACCCTTCTGGTTGTTCAACTTGAAAGGAGCCAAAGCTGAGTTGACGAGTTTGAAGTTCTTTCCGACGGTGAAGATTTCGTGGACGATATCCTCGACGCAGATGATGTCAGCTCTCTTGTCGAAGACTTTTTTGACCAATTCGTTTGAAGTGATTTTCTGTCTGTCACCCTTCATCTTCAAAGCGCCTCTAGCGTAGATAAGGTCAGAAACCGTCTTCAATGATGGGTATCCGTAAGTGATATAAGGCTCGACGATTTTCAACATTTTAAGAGTCGAAGCGTTAGCTCTAATAAAGACGGCGTTGTTGATTTGTCTGAGTCTCAACAATTTCAAAGTCTTTCTAATCTTTGGAGAGACGTTGTTGATACCTCTAATTCTAATTGCAACGATCAATTTCTGTTCGGCTTCAGCATACAAATCTCCATTGATCATAGCTTCTTTCTTGGCTTTGGCAATGGCTCTGTCCTTGGTGAGTCTCTCTTGTCGATGAGCTATCGCACGCTTCACTAATTCAACGCGAATGGCTTTGATCTCTTCGTGGCGCTTCTTCTCAATTTCCGCTTTGGTCGGCTTCTGTGCAGCAACGGCTTGTCTTTGTTCGGCTGTGGACACCTTCCCACTCATCTCAAGACTCTATCCACAAACCCGCTTCTTATTTAGTTCTATGGGTTTACTTAACTATAGTTCTTTATTAATTCTTTGTTAATACTTTGTTTTCTTTTGTTTTACTATATCTTTTCTTTTTGTTTTTTTGGAAAACCCTTCATTTTTTGTTTTTCTGTTACAAATTTTGTTTTTCAAGAATCTTAAAATTGCTATTTTATAGATCGCATCAAAAATAAGGCGGAATACTAGAAGTATAGTATTTATAGTAGTAATATTATTTTTATTATTCATATGGTATACTTTATTATATTTTTGTTATTAAAATATAATAAATGGGAAAAATTAAGAAAGCTAAAAAAGTTAATTTATTTCAATCATCCCTTCTTTAAGAGTTAAATCGATCACAGAAGGCCCTTTACAAAAAACTTCCGCCAAATTTCGGGTTTCACCAGTAAACACGTTTTTGTTATTTTGGTCTTTCATTCTCTCAATCACATTTGTCAAATACAAATTGAATCGGTCGTCATAATTCTCAAGATTGCCCTCAAGAATTCTGCCGGAATTAAATTCAACGATCACCGTTTTGCCCATGAATGATGAGAGGTCTGAGATTGCGGTAAGTCTTTGTTGGTAACGCGACATTTTTTTTTCAGTTTTTTCACTTTTTATTTTATTAAAAGTATTAAATTAATTCTATCGAAATAGTTTCGATCGGTTATATTTATTCTTATTATACTAAACAAATAATAAAAATATAACAAAAATTTTATTATAATGATAAAAGTTGAGATCCCATAATTTGAAAGAATGAGAGTAGTAATGGAATAGAAAGACAATAATGCTATTAATTGAAGCATTGTAAAAAGAAACCGGTTCTCGGTGGAGGTTTACGGTGAAGAGTTATTCATTGAGATTAACCCAACTATGCTTCAAGAGATAGGAGTTCCATAGTACGCCGTATGTTGTCATATTACGTCTCCAATTCTCCAATAGCAATCTACTTTTTAACTATATCAATGACTAGTTATATATTAAATGTTTTTACTAATAATATACTATAATTAATTAGTAAATATCGAATTTTTAATTTATTACAACACCTCCAATTCCACTTCATTTCAATTCATTTCGATTTATTTAAAAGTCTAGTTTTATTCTAATAGAACAAACTATACTTCAGATAGTTATTAATAGATAAAAAAAAGAATTAAAAAAGGCAATGATTACGAAGTTCCGTAATCCTCAGAGTGATTTTTCGTTTTGTCCCTCATGTGGGAAAGATTACCAATTATTTCTCTTTCTAACTAAAAAAGTAGTCTGTCACTGTTGTGGTCGTGTCTTATGTTCGAATTGTATTCAAACACTTCAAGACTATTCCAACAAAGAATATAAACTCTGTTACGCTTGTTATTACCCATACAAGGATGCACATGGTCGAATCCCTTACTTACAAGTACACAACCCTTGTGTCCCAACAATTGCATTAGGCTTTCTATCATCAGACTCCGTGACGCGCCAACAAGCATTCAAGCAATTTCTACCTCTAATGAACAAGAATGGAATTGACTTGGAGTATTACATGAAGTCGGGCTTAATTCCTTATTTCGTCAAGTTACTCCAAGACCAAAACTCCGCGTCGATGATCTCCGAGATCATTGCGAAGAGTCTCCAAGAGAACATCGAGTTAAAAGTCTTCTTCGACCGCACTGGGATCTTCTCGTTGAATTCCGGCATCTTGCGGTTGACCTCCAAAACGTTTCTCGAGAACGCCGCGTTCATTTTGTGTTTGATTCTCTCAAGTTGTTTGAAGAACGTTCCTTACACTAACTTTAAAACAGTCGGAGAGATCACTAAGGCAATTAAAACAGCTGAAGAGCAATACGATGAAAAGGCACTTGAGTTCTGGTGTGAGCGAGAGAACAGATTAGGGAAGTATGTGACGATGTTACAGAACGAGTACATCTCGCAGTCTTCATTAATTGCATTAAGCAAGTTATATCAAGTCGTTGGCGATGAAGAGAAGGAAGGCTTAGTTATTTGTTTCTCTTTATTTGAACAGACTTTTAAAGTAGGAAAGGAGATGGCATATTCCCAAACAGTGTTAGTAGAGTTACTGAAGTGTTATGACAAAGTGACTTGTCGAGTGATTCTACCACTTCTTCTTTTAATGATCACTTCAAAGGAATTGCTTGGGTATGTTTTAGATAATAAGATCATCGAACTGACGTGTGAAATATTGAAAGTGAATGAAGACGAAGCTTTTGCAGATGTCGTCTCTGTGCTTCTTGAGAGAGTTTCGAAATACAACGACTTAATAGACAAGTTGGTGACACATTTGGACTTCTTTTCTGTCTTGTTGAACCGAGAGAAAGGGAGTAATATGGTCGCTTCTAAATTAATAGAAACGATGATGTTGTACGACACTACCAATGGGCGGAATGTTGCTGAATTGATATTGGTTGAACACATAGAAATTGTTGAAATGATGCTACGATCAAATAACATTGATAAACGAAACGAGGGCGTCTACATCTTCGACCAAATTAATCAGATGTTTGGCGTAGAAGCTTTTGAGATCTTTGAGTCTCGTGGTATTCTCCAAGTCGTTTTGGAAAGTGTTCGAATGGAATTAGCGGATCCCACATTGGTGTATGTTGCTTTAAGTCATATTTATACCCACGCAGAGATCCGTTCCAATTTCATGGAATATTTGATACAAACCGACTTTGTCTGTTTTCTGTGTCAAAGCGTCGAACAGAAAAGCCATTTAAAAGAGATATTACCATTTTTTGTATACCTCGCTGGTAACAAAATCATACAAAAGGACATTTTCGAGAGTCATTGTGGGAACCACGCAAGGCTTATGACGTTGTTTACCGAAGAACAATTAGCTGATTATATGACCTTCGAGTTACTGACACAATTCACGAACAACACACGATATGCCACATTGTTCATACGAAATATAATGGACACACAAGGTCTCTTCTCAAGAATATTACAATTGCAGCACACGAAAGTGCCATTGACAAGCGTCTTTCCATTCATCAGAAACATGCTCTCGACAAAATGTAAAGAAGAAAAGTTTGTGAGTGCTCTCTCCATCTTTGTCGACAAGCTTCCAGAGACTTTCCCAAGTGAAACTGATAATTATATCGTCGAGTATATATCACTCTGTACATCTATTTGTAGCCACTCGAAATACCTCAAAACAAAATTCTTAAACGTGAAACTAGCGGGAGTCTCGTTGTTCCAGAAAGTCACCTCGTTGATGAGTCTGAACGACTTTAAAGTGAAGACGGCGGTTATTCAACTCTCGCAAATGTTTTTGAAAGAAGACAACGACTATCTGGAATTGATTAAAACTTTCCCAATGCTTTATATTAGTGTGTTTGGTGGAATAAGTAACATGTGCGATTCGACATTCATGGCAACTGCATTCGATTTTATTCGCAGTGCCTTAGCAAACAAGCGAGAGATCGAGAAATTCAAGAAGTCAAGTTTACAAGACGATGTATTACGTGTATTCATTGATGAACGGAATGTGATATCCAATGAATTATTGGGTAGTGGTGTGGGTTTAATAGTGACGATGTATGATGTTGGATTGGTCACTGCAAATTTCTCTGGAGTATCAAAGAGACTGTTTTACTATTTTGGCAATTACCAATTGAATGGGATTAGTCATGTCTGTCTCATGAACATTCTCAGAAGTTTGATGTTGGTTAGAGGCAGTTTTGAAACGGCGATCAACAAGAAGAATGTGTTAACAGCTTTAGTAGAATTGCTTGAGAGTAAATATGTCTCCGAATATGCAAAGGCACTTCTGTTGCTTATTTTGCGCGAGAAGAAGTGTGTGTTAGCGAATATTGACTATGAAATGTGTGTGAAAATAATGAAAGAGAAGAGTATGGCTGGGTGCCTTATGCGTGTTTTGGACGATGAAAGTGTTGAAGGGAAACAAAAAGGTAAAGAGCTCTGTGAGGATCAAAATGTTCTTCACACGATATTATTGGGTGATATTCCCGAGGATGTGATTATCACCTTTTTACTTAAAATGAATGTGAAATTGGCCAAGAGTGATGAGAAGGTCAAATTTATAAGGAGGTGTGTAAATAAAGCAAAGGTATTAAGTCTGAGTGGTTTTGATGGGGTGTTTGCGTTCATCAGAAAGAGTGACATGAGTGAAGTTGAAGAAATTTTTGCTTCAGTAGCTGTAAAGGAGTTGTTTGAATTGGGAGATAAAAAGGTTGAAAGGATTTTAGACTTTATTTCAGGGGTAGTAAATTCGCCAGTACTCATCAAGCAATTTTTAAGCTGTCTTCCACTGATTATAACAATTGTACTTCAAAGCCAAAAGTACTTTGAAGCACTTCTGCCATTCACTATATATGAGGAAGGAAGAGAGAAAATATCGACGAACCCGATTTTACTTAATTTGTTATTTGATGACATCCAGAAGACGCCCGTGAAAGGAAACATTGTCACACATTTAACATCTGACATCAACTTTTTACCACTGGTGTTGGTCTCTTTTGACATCTCACAACTCATGCAGAAAAATGTGATCACACAAAATGTCATATTAGAAGTGCTTGTTGATGGGAGTAGAGGAGATGGGATGTACCTGACTTTTGATTTACTTGAAACTATCGTCACGATAGAAAACATTGAAAAGGGTGGATTGGTCTTTAGAAAACTCTTGGGGTTTCTTCAAAATCATTTCGCGCATCCCAAATTTGAAGAGAAAGTGCAGAAATTTGACGTTCAATTTGTTTCAAAGGTGTTTGAGCAAATGATGAAAAGTCGTTCTGATGAGGACGCGAATGAAGTTTTCAAACTGTTGGGGAACACACTTTTTAGTGAGAGAGTTACAGACGAGCACATTTGCAGTTTAGTCCAGTTGATTTCTAAAAAGCGAACAGAGAAGTTATCTGATTTATTCACTGCGAAACTACTTGAAATTATAACGACACTTGTGACGTCAAAATCACGTGATTTAGTCATTGAAATGATCGCGAAATATTCCCAAAACATTCTTGTTTTTCTGAAGTCTAAAAATGTCGAGTTAGTGGAGAGTACTTTGTCGTTAGTCTTGTTATTATCTGACATCTTTGTGAAGGGAATTGATGAATCAATAATAGAAATAGTTGTGAGCTTATCGAAAACAAATCCAACGAAGAAACAATTACGAGTGTTAGTCCTAAGGTTTGTCGCATTGCTTGTGAGGAGTCATGTTGGAGTGAAGACTGTTAAGGAGATGATGTTATCCAAATCCATGTCACATTTGATTACAAGTGAAACGATGAATGTATTTCAAATCATTCAAAACATCTGTTTGGATGAAGATGGTACAACTCTGGTGTAATTCTTTGTCTCATTCATTTATTAACTTATTCTTTTATTATTCTCATCAAGACAACACATAAACATAGAGAAATAATATTGTTCGCACTAAAAATATTTTACTTGATAATAAAGACTAAACAAATAGTTTCACGAACGATTTGGTCATTTTGATTTACAGGAGATTTTGTATTTGAAAACAGAAAAATTCAAGAAGCAAACTCGAAATAGTAAAAAGCGATAGAATGGCTTCAGTCCTTGATACCTTGAAGACTAAAACTGAAAGAGTCGTGAACGCTGCAGCAAACGCTGTTGATAAAAAAGAGTGCACTGAGTCCGAATATGCAAACAGTAAATTAAAAGCTTTGGACGACTACGAAAATTATATTAAAAAGACTAAGAACTTTACTAATAAGATACTAGAAGCTTATACTGTTGTTATCGACCAACTTGGTAACCTCTCGGACTTGCAACAAAATTTCTTTAGTACAAGGGACACAACTCAAGAACAAAAAGACGCGACAACATTTGAAACAAACTTTCTGTTGTTTGTCCAAGGCAATTTCTTAATACTGAAAGAAGAAGTAACAAAGTGTGTTATTAAACAAAGCGATACGCTACTCAAAGAAATTTCTGATGTCAAACAAACATTCACAAGGAACATGAGAAAGCCTGTGGACACTTTGGAAACAATGACTGTAATGAAATATCAACTGGACAATATTTTCGAGTTACGGAATTATATCATCCGCACACAACCATATAAAATTTATAACACTTTTGGTAATAACTTTGAAGAATTTTACAAAACAAATTCTAATGTTAATGATTTGATCAAAAAGATCGCCGACAAGGAAAAGGTGATACCAACACTTCATTTAAAAAACACACTATACGTCGGGCAGCTCCTCGTGGAAATACTCGACGCAGAGTGTAGGAACAAAGACGAAGTGCCTAAACTCGTTGAACAGATGATCAATATTGTCGAGACTAAATACGTCGATTACGAAGGTCTTTTTCGGACAACGGGAAGCGTTAAAATGATGAATGAAATATACCACAGAATGACAGTCACAAATTTGGATGAATTGGGGTATGACACCATCACCTACATGTTAAAGACATTCACAAGAGACTTACCAGGGATGTTGTTGAGTAGTTCCGTTTCACAAGACTTACTGTCAGTATATAGTTTGTTTTATAGTATTTTTACTATAATATTATACCATTTGGGACATATAAATAGATGAGGCATCTAATCAAGTAGAAAGGTCGACGGACCGAGTCGAGCGAATAGAATATTTGACTAAACTATTTGCAAATGACAATTGGATGGCAAAGGAGAAAATAACATACTTCAAGGCGATATGCCAAATGTGCCACACGATTTCACAGAATGCAGAAAAGAATTTGATGAATGAAAAGAATTTAGCTGTGTGTTGGACACCGACTATGTTCAATGTGTTGACTGATGACATTGGCCAATATATCGAAATGCTCACTTTCATTATTAAAGAGTCAGACTTCATTTTTGGTAAGAAAGAATGCGCAAATGACTCTAAGAGTATGACTACAACTACACGACCAAAAAATATGTGTGTCTCGTGCCAGAATGAAACACTAAGTTCGTCTCCACGTGTTGCACTTAAAATGCCAAAAGTGCCGCCACAACGAGACCGTATGTTAAAGAGTCAACAATCGTCTTTAAATACAACAAATTTGACACAGCCAGTTAATGGGGGCGTAAAACAAAATAGACAAGCATCACCACCAACCCTTCCACATCGAGCCCCAAAGTAAAATGTTAGACAATTTATTCTTTTATTCTGATTATAATTATAATTCTAGTTTAAGCTATTATATATTAGAAGCAATAGTTATATATATATACATATATTATAGATTTATTTATTATATATATAATTCTAGTATAATATAATATATTTACTATTATTGTAACTAGAAGAAGTTCGATTCAAAGGTAATACTATTAACCCATTAAGATATAATAGATTTACTAATAATTAATTAAAAACGAATTAATTGGACTCATCGTCAGAGGTGTCTGATTTCGATGTTGATTTATTACTTACATTGTTCTTTTGTTGTACATCGGATTTGTTACTTGTCTTACTCTCAGACTTTATATCCGAATTACTGTCCGATTCACTCTCGGAATTAGAGTCGGATTTGGACGATGACGACGATGACATAGATGACGACGATTCTTCAAGCGACGAGTCATCTTTAGTTTCTTCCTTTGTTGTTTCTTTTGTATCCTCAGAAGGTTCTGTTTTAAAGAACATATTATCTTCGTCGTTGAACACTTTTGGCGCTTTTCTTTTCAACAAGATCTTTCTTGCAACAATAACAAAGACGACAAACAAGATCAAAATGATGACAATGAAGATACCGATGATGATCAAGATGACAATGACCCATGTTGGCACATCCTTTTTGACAATTGGTTCAAGGTTGTTTTGCTCACTTGCATCAGTTGGATCTGTTGGGCACTCATATCCTGCTTCGACAAAATCGCTTGGCACAAGTGCAACATAAATCGAACAGATTTGTTTGATGGTGTATGACGAGAATGACGCGCTCTTCAAATGTGCTGCTTTTGTTCCTTCTACAACACTGAATTTCACACCGTTTTCAGCTGTGAAGTTCTTTCCAAGACCAACTCTCATGATGAAGATTGGCACGTCTTTGGGGAGTGATGGGTCGACAACGATCTTGATTGTGCCTTCTGGCCAACTGACTGAAGCACCAGTTGAAAACATCAGTGGGAATGCCTCTGGCTTTTTGATGAGCAAGACAACTTCGTTGTCGAGAATGTTGAATTTTCCCTGTTGGAGATAAAGTCGTGCGTTGCTCACCTCCAAGTTGGTGATGTTTGTTGATGCAGACGATGTCACAAACAGTGCCATTCGCTCGTTGTCTGCTGCATCTTCCACAACCAAGTCATCAAACACATCAACCTTTGAGAATTCAAAGTTGTTAGAGAGTGACGAACTGCGTGAGTACAGTGCTACATGGATTGATTTGTCTGAGTTTTGTGGTTGGTTGATTGTGAATGGTGCAATGCTCATCTTCTTTGTGTTGTTGAATGTCATGTTGACGGTGTCCGCGTTGAATTCAAATGTTTTACCAACTGTCAACGTGTCGATCGAGAAGACGACTGGTGCATCCCCATTGACTGTCATCACCTTTGTGTTCAGAATGTCACTTGCAACTTCAACTGCTTTTGTGTTTTGAACAATGAATTGGTTTATTTGGTTAGATCCAATTGATGTTGCGTTGATGAGTGCTGTGTATTCTGCTGTTATTGTAGTCACGCAGTATCTTCCATTGCATGGACATCCACTTCTGTTGTATATCTTTGCGTTGTCTGCTGCAGTCTCGTTGTACTGCACAACAGACACAAGTGTTGTTGTGTTGTCTTCGCCTTCCATCTTGACAAAAGCAGTTGGTGTTACGTCTGGAGTGTCTGGCTCTTCTGGTACAGGCACAGTCAACTCACATAGAATTGGTGGTCTTGTCTCATCGTCTGCACTTGTTTTGTACAGCAACATCGAGTGGTCTATGTCTGTCTTCAGTGACTGCGACATCTTATCCTCATTTGCAATACTCACGTGATATATGTCAGACGCGTACGTCACTACATACGATGTGAGCTCCAATGGAATAACAGACAACGACTCAACTGAGAAGTATCTGCTTTCTTTGAGTTGTATGAATGGAAGTGCATTTATAGTGTCATTGTTACTTCCTCTGCTCACAACAACAGATCTTGCAATGAAGTCGCTGTCAATGATAAATGGCACGTTACCACTCAGTGAGATATCAGAGTTCGCAACTTCGGGAGCAAGTTCCAAAGTGAATTTAACTTCTTTGTCTTCTGACTTTTGTTCTGCGGTGATAGCAACTGATGTTGAATTTCCAAGGTATGTATAGACATTTCCATTTTCTTCTTTATCTTTCTTAACATTACCAAGTCCGATGTAAGAAGTCTTAGTAAAGAGTATCAACAACGAAGCTGTCTCACTCGACTTTGTTCCCAAAATGGATGTTGGCACATTGAAAGTCAATTTAGTTGGTTGTTTGGTGTAGATGTTCAACACAGTAGCAGTTAAAGACCCAACTCCACTGTATGTGGTGTCGTCTGTGAATGTGTCGTTATCAATTTTCTCATCTGAAAATATGACTACTTTTCCTCTTAACATAAGTTCTTCCACGATGACTGTTCTGAACCCCAAGTTGACACTTGCCTCTGCCTTGAGTTGTTTGAAGTTGCCGGTGATGTTTGTTATTGTCATTCCCGAAAGTGTGCCTGGTATTTTAGTGTTGCACCCAGACGTGAAGACTGAACCCGTTGATTTAGAGCATGGGCAGTCTCTTGTATTGACATAGGAATTACTCTCAAAAGCATTGATTTGAATGGTTTCTTTGTTGATGGGATCAGCAAAGACGCATTCTGTACTTCCTTTACAAACGTAATTTGATCTTTTGACTCCTGTTGGGCAGATGATCCACATCGACCCACCACATCCTAAGTCTGAGTTGGCAGTTCTGAACTTTTCTTCAGTTTGTGATGCGGTAGAGAACAGAACAAATGGGGTGCACACTTGAGCTGCAGCCTCACCAGACATCTCTGTTTTGACTGGATCTTTATTGTTTGTATTTACAAAAGTGATTGAATTGACATTATCAGCTTCAATCACAGAAGTGTCTTTGAAGTCCTTACTCTTTTCAAGTTTGACTGTTGCTTCGCTGAAGTTCAACTTGGCGCCTCCAAAGATATAAACTTTACTCATTTGAGTCGCAGTCATTTTGACATCAAGCAAATTGATTGTAACAATAGAATCTGCACCTCTGATCGACAACGTTTTACCAACATAAAGCCCAAAAGCTCCAACATTTGAAGCCTCGATGAAAGTGTCATAGTTGCATTTCAGAGTGAATTCGACGCCGTCTTTCACAGTGATTTTTCCAATTGTTGATGGGGTGTTGAGCACAAGTGTTGTTGTTTTTGTAATTTCAATAGCAGCAATTTTCGTGTTTGACTCTGAATTTATTGTCACAACCCCACCATTCAACGTAAGTGTCGAGTAGATGACAAGCACTTTGAGGTTCAAAGTGAAGTTTCCAGTAAGTTCCATTTTTGTAAATCTGTGTTCATCTTTTGTTGCCATAACTGTGACTGGGGTGGCAGAGGTAGTTTCAAGGTGGATGAGACAGTCCCCACCCTTCCCAGAAATGTCATTATAACACGGGCAAGCCTTATCGGGGTTGGACAAATACACGTCTTTATCAAGATCTACAGAGTCCTTCAAATAAGTTGAGTTGACAGTGCATGTCTTTGTTTCCAATTGTGTAAGAGACGAACAATTGAATGACTGAACGTCTGAGTTATACACTAGTGCTCTTTGTGAGCACTTGTTTTTGATTTGTGTTGGCAGAGAGCCTTGATACACTTGTGCTGATGTGCTTATTGCAATGACCATATAATGTGTTGCTGTTGGAGGGTCTTGAACAGAAACGATTCCATTAACTACAAACGATGCAAATGAATCCGTGTTGATCAGTGGACCATTGTTATCACCTTCGAGTGTAGACATATCGAAGTTTGCTGTCTCAACAACAAGTTTATATCCGGTTGGCACCTCTACCTTACTTTTAGAGTCCATCGATAAGGTCCCAATGTTTACCACATTGTTTGTTTCAAGAGTTGGATTTTTCACAACTGAGTTCACAAGAGTGAGCGACGCCAATGCTATATTAGCAGTAACACCGGTCAAGTCAAGAACAACATTTTTCAAAGTCAGTGACTTGTAGTCTGTGAGTACTTTTGGTTTCACGATTGGTTGGCTTCCTTCGGTTGTACATTGTATCAAGATGTTATTTCTATTTGACAAACTCAGTTCGGAAAAGACGACATCTTTTGATACAGTGATTCCATCTCGATACACTATTAGTTTTTTATTAGTAAATAATCCAGAATTATTGTCATCAATTGTGAGCGTATTTGTACCACTTGTCTTATAAGCTGTGCAACCAAAATGGTCTATATTAAAAGGATCTTCAACTTCACAAAGAGAACAGGTTGGAGGTGTTGGTGAAGTGTCAAATGTTAATTTCATTTTATCGCATGACGATTTCCATTCATTCTTTAAAAGTCCAAGTACTTTCAATGGATCTTGGTAATATGGTGGGTATACCACTGCTCCTGAAACTCCTTTTATTGATGGTGCACCATCACCAGTTGACACGCCAGTAATTCTTGTTAAGTCGAGTTCTCCATTTTGGTCCAAGTTGACAGTCGCACTGAAAGAAATAGCACCAAAAGTGACAGTTGATTTAACAATTGTTCCGGTTGTTGTGATTGTTGGTTTACCAGAAGACGCGAGTAACATGAGTGAACCGCCACTGATAGTGTATGTTGGGGTGGTCGTAGACGAGACTACAAGTTTTGTGTTTTCCCCTCTTAGTGATAAGCCAGAAAATGCCGCGATTGAGACGTCTCCCTTATTTGTGTCGATACTTCCACTTGCGGTTGTTATAGTAAATGTAGCGCTTTGCAAATGTGTAGTGTTTGCTTTCAATGTTCCAATATAAATTCTTGTTGAAGCTTCTGTTCCTTTGATAGTGACTTCATTTCCAGAGATCTCACCAATTTTGACGTTGGTATTTGCTGTTATTGTGGTATTAAATGATCCATAATTTAAAGAACAAGTAACTCCAAGTAAGTGGCAAGGGCAAACAATGTACCCATTCTCATGACTTGAAGCCAAAGTTGACATTGGCATTGAATTTGTTGCTGTGCACTTTACAGTATTTTCTAGAGTCGAAGTTGTTTGGAAGTATATCATATTAAAGAACTGGTAAAATATCAAATTTGAGTCGACTTGTACAACTTGAATTTTGTATTTATTTGAAGTGATGGACAACGCAGTGGTAGCATCCATTGTACCCAAAGTGTTACATATGAGTTGATACCTTGGAGTGACAATAAAACTGGCTGTAGTATACAATTGATTAAAAGTGATAAGTAAGTCTTCACCATCCGTTTTCATCTGTGTTTCAGAAAACACCAAATTTCCATTGTTGCTGAGAAACCCAACTGAAGTTGTTGTTGCTGAGAATTGTAAAGTACATGTGGCACCAATGTTATTCTGTAACTTGGAATTTTCTGTTGCTCGACTTATTGTTAAAGTCCCCGAGTTCTCTATAAAGCCAGAAGTAAAACTCTCTGCTACTAGCGCACCTCCACTGACTATTATAACCTTTCCAGTACCATAAATATCAGTCACAGACAGTGTCACACCACTTGGTATAACCAAATAACAATTTACACTCATGTTATGAAAAAGGGTTGGACTTGATGACTGTGTAAGTGTAATGTAGGTGTTACACTCACTTGGTCGTGTAAGTCCAGTTGCTAAAAGCAAAGCTAATACAAGCATTGAAAGTGATTAACAAGTTGAGTTTGTATTTGTGTTCTTGGTAGTGAAAAATCCAAAAGAGTTTGAATAGAAACAATTCTAATTAATTTTATTATATTTTTTACTAGCACTATTCTCAATAAAATGTTTGTTGGTGTATTTTCGTTGACATTGGTATAAATATCAAAAAACTCCGTTGTATATTTGTAAATTATATTTATAATAACAAAATAATTGTTTTTGTTGGTGGAAAAAAGGGGTGGTAGTTTTTTATATAAATTTAATTAAACAGTTCTAATAAAAAAGAGTTGGAGTTTTTTGAAGGAACAATTACTTATTTTAAATTTTGATTCTATTGTAATTAAAATTTATCACAACAATAGTAAAAAATAATTTAACTGTATAACACTTTTTAATACAGTTTTTCAAAACATTAGTTAGTATTTAGCTATTTATATATAATTATTATTTTAAAAAAGCAGTTTTGTGTATTTCAGTCCTATTTTTTAAAATACAATAAAAGAATATTATAATATTATAATATAATGTTAGTTTCACATTTATAACTAACTTTTTAACTTTGAGTGGGAACTTTTTTTAATGAGTTAACTGGATATAAAATGTTATTGAAAAAACAAAATTATAATCACGAATAGAATTAAATCAATAAACCGTTTTTTAAGTGTATGTTTTATTGGATGTATTTTAATTAAACGTAACATAATCGATACAGTAAAAATTGCATTAGTGTGTGATTCAATCAATATTTGGTTTTCACCAATTTAAAGAGGCTAACACAGGGATAGAATATATTTATTTCCCACAAATTTGGCACTAAAAATCAATTACAAATTTGTTTTTATTTTAAACAGAATAAAAACTTGGTGTGAAATAAATGAAATTTTTAGACTGACTTTACCGTTATAGGGGCATTTTTTCAATTTTATTATTTTTATTATAATGGTCTCAGGAAAGTCTAATATTCAATTAATCAACCAAAAGTTTATAATAATGAGATACAAATGATCATAAATTCACACATAAACAACATTTCATGCTTTTAAGTAAAGTCATTCCGAATAAGTGTGCAACTTTATTTTTTCTTTGTTTTTTACTAGGGATGAAGTAAAATCCATTTTACCTGTTTACCAAAAAAGAGAAAAAATTGGTAAAATATTTCACCAATTTAAGATCTTAAAAATCCCTATATTTTAAAAAACATTTTTATTAAAAATCAAAAAAGGAATAACATTTTGCATTTTCATCAATTTTAATTTAATTATAAAGTTTTTCGATTTTTGCCAACATTTAATTATTATTGCAATTGATGTTAAAAAAATGAATAAAAAAACAAAAAAGAACAAAAAAATCCAACAATAACCAATATCATTAAATTATTTTTTTGAAAAAAAAAACAATTCAAATGTTACTTTTGTTGTTTTTTAATTAATTCAAACGTGTTTGATGAAAAAATATATATATTTCATCAGAAGCTCAGTGAAAACAACATAAAAATAACAAAATTTTATTTTAGATTCGACAAACTAATTATATTATAATATGACACATAATATAAAAACGATTGACATTTTTTGTTTATAATTATTGATTATCATTTACTATTATATATCATTTTAAAATTAACTACTATACTTATCAATTAATGTAATGAAAAGAAACGTAGAGTGCATGTAAGTGATATTTAATTTTTGTTTTTGTACTTATTTCAAATAAACATTATTTTCATATTATAAAAGAAATATTGTCTTTTAAAAATATGCGTTTTATGTCACATTTTTTCAATAAATATTGCAAAACAATGTTACTTGACATAATAAGTCACAAATTAAAGTTGTTATTATTTTAAGAATATGTCTGATTGGTAAAATCGTAATAATATAATCATCGGTAATATATTTTAATTATCAAAAATATAACGATTTAAATTCATAATTATTATATTACATTTGTTTTGTTTTGAAATATAATGTCCCAAATTATAATAAGTTTTTTAAAGAGCATTTTTCAAAACAAAATAAACAGATGGTTACAAATTATTGTTAGAGTTAATTAATCCAAAACACTTTCAGATGTTGTACAAATGATATTTCGATAATTGATGCTTATAATAATAAATTAAATTAATTATGAGCATTTCTCAATGTATTTTATATTATATTTTTTAATATATATCCTAGATTTTCAAATAATATGTTTTTGATTTGTACCTTTTTTATTAAATATAGTGTTGTTATTGTTTAAGTATTTATTAAAACATGTTTTGTGTAAATTGTTTTTTATTTATGATAAGTAAAAAATATTTACAATAAGATGAATATTGCCGCTCATTGTGGTAATTGTAAAAAAAATCATTATTGAATTTTTCATTTTTTTTTCCAAAATGCTGAAATTGTTTTAACCAAAAACATTAAAATGATATTTATTAAATTATTCTTTATAAACAAAATTAAAATTCTAGAACTTAAATAGTTCTATTTAGTGAAATGATTTCACCAAATAATTTACTAAAACATAAATTTTCAGTAAAATTATTTCACCATTTTACTTCATCCCTATTTTTTACTCACAACAAAGGTGAAACTCTATTTTTCAACAATAACAAAAACAATAACAAAAAGTAGAATTAGGTTATAATCAACATAAAATATAACTCGATATTTAAATGATAAGTTCAACTGCTTGTTTTAATTAAAAAGCATAACAATTCCAAAATTCCAATTGTCATACAAAACGAATAAAACGGCGTTGTATATCGATTGTGGATGGCGCAGATGTTAAACATCTCGTGTATAAAACAAAAAAATAATGAGACAAGCAAATTCGTGTGGTTCAAAGACTTTTTCGCTGCAAAATTTCGATAAACACGACAAAGTTGAATGGTGCAACCCAAAAAACTAATTGAGAAAAAATGTGCAACTTTAGTTATAGTTTAGTTATAGTATTTTAATTAGAGTAATAGTTTTAAAGAAATTTGTTTGTGTTTTCTTGTTTTGTTTCTAAAAAACATATAATTTTTTTACTATAATTATATTATAAACAAAGTTGCATTGACACGTCAAATTTGCACGGTTTTAAGAATGACTTTATGTTTAAAATCCAATATAATTATTCTTATATTAAACATTACACATTGACAAATGTGACAACTTTATTCACATTTTTAACTCTTTTAAAAAGGTAGATTATAAAAAGTAGACTCAATTAACTTCAACACAAATGAATTGTAAACAAACTATTTTAATAGTAAAATATAGTTTTATTTGATTTTTTAAATATTAACCACGTCATTGAAGTGTTGCATAAATAGAACAAATAAACCATTAGTTTAATAGTAAAATAATTATTACAAAACAATCCACGTCATTGAAGTTTTTGAATGAGGTTTAAATAACACAAAAAATAGAATAAAAGGGCAACAAAACTTTGAAAATCAGACAATGCAAATCTTTGTGAAGACCCTCACTGGAAAGACCATCACATTGGAAGTCGAGCCAAACGACTCAATTGACGCCATTAAGGCAAAAATCCAAGAGAAGGAAGGTATTCCCCCAGATCAACAAAGACTCATCTTCGCTGGCAAGCAACTTGAAGAGGGAAAGACGTTGTCTGACTATAACATTCAGAAGGAGTCCACTCTCCACCTTGTCTTGAGATTAAGAGGTGGCTTCTAAATTCATTCGTCTCTTAGATTCGTATGGATTTGTAATTCATTACTTCGTTAACTTTGTTTAGTTATAACACGCGTTTAATTTATTGATGTTTTTACAAAGTAATGAAGTAACATCAAAGGAAACTATCAATAATAAGTTTTTTCATTGTGTGTGAAATTAATTCAACACACAAATGATTAAATGCAGAGAGAAATGCCGAATTTTTAATTACAAAATTGTATGTATAAAATGTATCGAGTGAAATGAATATTTATAAATAATAGAACAGTAAAACCTCTCAATAGTGAGTCCCCCATTAAGAGAATTCTCTCATTAAGAGACGTTTCAACCAATCAAAATTAAAAACACTTATTAGGGGGAAAAAAATAAATTCATAACCACGATTGAGAGGTTTTATTTTCCCGTTTAATCTTCCAATGAGAGGTTTTACTGTATTTGGTGGATATAAACACGGCACAAACCAATTTGTTTTGATTGTCCAAATAAGTTGATCTTTTACATTAAAAACGTAACTAAACATTAATATGAATATTCAATTGTAAAAGATGTATTTTCGTTTATGGTTATTAATATAACAATTGAAGTGTGTACAATGAAACAACAAACTTTTATTAAAGTTGATGATATAACAAAGTTTATAGATTATATACATAATTTAACAAATGATTTTTGTTTTACAAGTAACAACTACACACATTGTTTTTATTTCAAATAAAGTAAAAATACTTTAAACCAATCTTAGTGACACGTTAATAGCTTCTTTTTTCTGATATCAAATGTGAACAACATAACAAATGCTAGTAAAATAATAACACCAAACAACTTTCATTACATATTAAAACGCTACTAAAATAGTAAACATGGTAAGAATGACCATCTTGACAATACCATCCGAGTACTCCAGATTTGCATAATCAGACAGTTGGCTATGTACATTCGTGACCTTTGTAGCAACTTGAACACCACTCAATTCACTGTTTGTGTTAACTTCTTTTTTGAGTCCCTCTGCAAGTATAGTCGTATATGTCCGTTCTTTAAAGCACTTTTCAACGTTTAGAGTCTCGGAAGAGACGGGTTGGAGACTTGTTGATGAGATGACCGACACGAACGAAATCAAAACGATGAAAAGGCAGACCATAGAAGGAGTGGACTTGAATATTTAGTTCGCGCAACTCAATAATAAGTAAGTGCATAATACTATTAAATACTATTAGAAATCAAATAATGTACCTTTTAAAACCACAATAAATTCGGTCTGGGGACACCATATATTTAGAATGGGTAGAAATTTGTTTAAAAAAATATTGGAACCATTTGAATGATCGCTGAAAGCAAAAAAAATGTATCCACGAGGCAACAGACAAAAAAATGGATGGAGAATCTCTCTTTTTATTTATAGTCTGTTTTTTGGTTTGCAGAAGATAGCATCAGTTTTGAAGTTCGATGATTTTTTTTAAGATGAGAAATCCAAATAAAAAGCGCTTTGGATTATTATTATGCAGAAGAGCCTTTCAATGACCATCCTTCGTCTTTTTGTGGCGGAAAACGGGGGTTTTCGGGCGACTCTGTGTCGCGTTATAACAACAAGCAAATCCGGGAAGAATGGGAAGTTATATGAATATAATATAAACCCTTCATTTTTTCATCTAAACCACACCAAACTTTGAATGGAAAAGAAAAAAATATATTTTTCTCTTTTCAGTTTCACATTGGTTAGCCTCGGAAAACGGGTTGTCAGCGGAACTTGAAATGGAACTTAATCAAGAGGATATAGATTTGTCTTTATTTGAGAGTAAAAAATATGAACAATGAATGTTGGTTGTTTTATAATCGATTAACCATACCATAATGAGGAACAAGCCTCTAAATTTATTTGCTTAACAATAAATAGTAATTTGCCTTGTAAAAGTTTTCCCCCGTTTTTTTCAGGTGTTGTAATGCTTTTATATAAAATACTGATCTAACGAAAATAAAAAAAAAACAATATCGTCTGTGTTTCGTAATAACAGAGGTTTTTTTTGGGAGTAGTACGGCAATTCCAGTCTATTTAATGTGTCTGCTTCGTTCCAAATTATGAAGTTAATAAATATACAAGAGCGACTTTAGAATACAAAAAATGGAAAGAGATGTGCATACCACAAGAATAAATATGCCTTCAAAAACGATGGATAGAAATAATTACTTGTTTTGGAATTATTAAACGACCAATTCTGAAGTCAGTTGTCTTGTATGGATTCGGGCAAAAACATCGGATGATTGTGTCTGTAGGGTACAAATAGGGTTTCTCATAATCAAAAACTTGGTGGATTACTTGTAAAACTGCGGGAAATTGGCTATGCATAATGTCTTGATATTTTCTTGAGGAAAGTTTTTTAGAAAATTAATTAAAAATTTCGGTTTACTTAAAAAAAAGCAAAACGTCTTTTGGAAAAAGAAACGCGGTGTATATAAAGTGCTCAAAAGAACTAAAAATCGAATAATGCTCGTTTCGTCCGCACAAGTCGCTAACTTCACGAGTGCGTTTGGCAAAGTGGCAAAACTGACAACACAACAACATTTGTTACTTATTTTCACGGTCGTGATGGTCATGTTCGTGTATCAATCCGACAACTATTTCTGTGTGTTCCAAAATCAAGAACAAGAGTGGGTCTCTGTAGTTAGGCCGTTGAAGGAGCAATATGGGTTCAGTCAGTTTAAGTTTAAGATCTTCACCAAAGACGACCTTAAAAACGACTTTGACAACAACGAAATCCTCGACACGTTTGGGGCTAATTGGTCAAATGACTCCACTATATTCTGCTTCCAGAGCTGTGGAAGTCTGGCAGTCTGTCTGCTTGTTATTGTACTCCTTGTTTTTTGAAGTGTAATTTATGCCTTTTTGGTGTTTGTTAGGCCATATCATGTGTATAACCTAAGCCCAACGTTGTCCCAAACTATAAGGTTTTTCGGGTATTTTTGAACGTCCCCATCCCAAAATAATAACTTCGAATTGGATTATTATATTAGTATTATTAATAATAATTAACTTACTAATAATACAAAGAGTAATTAATTATTAGAAATGAAAGTATTTCCGTTTTTTTAATTGTTGTTAATGAGTTTGAGTGGAAGTTTTTTAAAAAGCCTCGTTGCTTATTATTGGACAAAATGGAGAGGAAATTCCATTTTTTTAGTTTTTATCTCCAAAACGAATTTGAAATTTAAGTTAATTCATTAAATAAATTTTAGTTTTATATAGTTTGATTGTTTGTTAAATATCGAACAACAAAAACACTAAAAAATTATTGTGAAAATAAAGTTTTTTTGTGTGCTGAAATTTGTCAAGTGTGTGTCTGTTTGTTGGTTTTGACAAAGTTTTAACAAAAACTAAACTCTAATTATGTAATAAAAATTTGAATCTTGTTTAATATGTCTTATAACTTTTAAAACAAAAATAATAATTGTTGTTAATTTAAAAAGATTTTTATAGTTAAATAATTATAAAAAAACCTTTTTAAAACAAAACATTGAATTTGTTTTTAAACAAGTCAATTGAAATAATTGTTGAGTTTGTCAAAAATGATTATAACTTTTATTATTTTATTGGAAGTTAAATCAAAAAAGTTATTTTTTAATTAATTATAATTTATAAACGAATTAAATTATAATAAATGTTATTATTTAATAACTAATTTTAATTAATAATTATTTAAACCACAAATATTTTTAAAAATATAGAAATTAAAAAAAAATCAACTTATTAAAAAATTACATTTGTTTTTATTTTATACAAATTTTGTAGTTAAGGAAATTACAAACTGTTTTTGGAAAAATGTTCATTAAGTGTGAAATAAAGCCAAGAGTCAATGAATAAATTATCTCGATGTCGTCATTTCCTAGGTTTTGATTTGGAGTTTTAATCATTTTTAATTTAACAAATAAAAAATGTCTTAATTTAATTTTTTCAGTCTTGACACATGTGTAAAAATAATAACATTTTTACACTTGGTAAGAGTCGATTAATGTTGTTGTTGTGAATCGCTGTTTTTTAGCCTTCTTACCAGGTTTATTGTTTGGCTCAAAGCTCTTGTTTGTGAACTTTTTTTTTGAGTTTGGAAAAAAATAAGGTTAAAATTCCCCTAGTTTAATGGTAATATAATGCCAAACTGTATACCATTTTTGCTGGCTTGTTAACGGTTTCGAACACTTTGAATTCTATAATAATTGTCACGTTTTTTTTCTTTGTTATGAATTGTTTGTTTGTGCAGATATTATGACTGTGATGTTAAACATTTTTAGGTATGAACTTTTTGATCAACTTCTGTGCTCAAACCAAAACAATGTGTTGTTTGTGAAATTTTTAAAAAGAGTGAATAATAAAAATTTAAATTTATATAAATAAATGAATTACTTGGACTTGACTCAATCAGTTATTTGAAATTAACAACGATGTTTTTGACATTTACTGCAATGTGTTTTTGTATAGTATAATATCTGTTAACGAAAACAACGTGTGGTTTTTGTTGCCTGAAGTATTTGTTATACTTTTGACTTAATTGTATTATTTAGACACTCCTCCAATCATTTTCATAAATCAAGTTTAATGTTGTTCAAATGTTTATATTGATTTAACATAAATTTCCAGAATAACACTGTTTTATTTTATTAATTACCACTTTCGAATGATTATCTAAATTCAATAAGTAAAATTTCTTGGACATGGTTAAAAAATTCAAATACAAAAAACATAAATTATAGTATGTGTTATTATTAATTAATAGTTTAAAAATTTTGTAATATTAATTTCTATATTTTTATTAAAACTTATAATTAAAATTAATTATAAATTAATTATTAAATTGTTTATATTACCATAATAAACTATATCAACATCTAACAATAGAAGTTATTAAGTATAAACAGACAGATGGAATTCGTTTTTTTTATAAAATTGGATTATTTGTAATTCAAGTTATTCCTAGATGTTATTATGGTTGACCAAATTATTTTTTAAATTATATATTATACTAAAATTAACTATAATGTATGGTTGTTGTTTTTAATTTGGTAAACCTGGCTGTTATACTTCTGGTGCCAAAAAGAAAAAGAAAAAAAAGAAGTCGAAATTAAGCAAATTATAATCAATGACAATATTAGGTATTTAACAGGATATTTCTTGAAAACAAAACACGGAAATTTCTTTTGAAAAAAAAGAAAAATTTTTTTGATCAAATATTGTATTGCGTCTTATATTTGCGTTTAAATTGAAATCATATAATATCAATTAATTAAATGAATAATTTATATAATTATACCAAAACAAATTATTCATTTTTGATCAACAAAGAAAAGAATAATAATCGTTTAATAATTTATTGGATGCAAAATCCTGGTTATTTGATCAAAAAATATTTAAAATAAGAAAGAAATAATTGAGTGTAAAAAAAGAACATATGAAAAAAGTCTGCTATTTTTTTACAGTGTTAATGAGAAAAACAACAGGATTTTTATTCTAATAAATAATCATGTTGAAAAGTTACTTTTCGTTTATATTATTTTGGTTTATAAACTCGAGAAATACTAAACTTTCATTTCAATGTTGTCTGTTTTCTTCATCCTTGTTTCCTTGATCAAAGGAGATACTTGCAATGACGCCATTTCATTAGGGAAAGTGTCTGACAAAGACTTGTTTTCTGAAATCCATACCCTGACAAGCACACAAACATCACAGTGGAACTGCTTAGAAGCTGCTGGTGTGGTCACTCAACCAGGCCAAGTCTTTACTTTTACTACAGATGAGGATGTAGATGTTGTTGCAAGTGCTTGTAATGCACAAACTTCCTTTGCTTCAAGAGTGATAATAGGTACCTCTTGCACTTCTGGGGTGTTAAGTTCATGTGAAGTAGCGACTGATGCGTCTTTTGCCACATGCAAAGGCCAAAGAAATCGTCTTCAATTCACAGCCAAAACAGGAACGACCTACTATGTGATGGTAACTGGTGTTACTAAAAATGAAACTGGAAGTTACTTACTTACTATTCAAAAGGTACCACAAGTGATGTCATCTTATTGTACAGAGGCCATTGAAATTACTATTCCAACTCAATACGATGCAGAAGTACAAAGTGACCAAACATACGATTCTTATAAAACAACAAGAGGTGTATGGTTCAAATTCACTGCTACGGACACAAAAATATTTTTGAATAGTGCTAATAGACACACCACAATGATCCAACCCATTTTTGTGTTGTTTAAAAACTCATCAATGACCTTAAACACTAAATGCAACAAAGACCCTTCAATAATATCAACATACATTTCTTCTGAGAACGTCATCCCAAGACTCAATTACGACAAACTCATCGTTGGAGATGTCTATTATCTTTATATCTACGATTATAAAGATACTTCAACAAATAACAAAGCTGGACGTGTGCAATTATACGCATCCACTTCACAAGCTGCAGATCGTTGTGAGACGTCATTTGCAATTTCACAGTCATACCTCTCTTTTGTGATCAAAATGTCGGGTCTTGAAAAGGGCAGAACACAGTGCAATGTTGAGAACTATGGGTTTTATATGAACTTTGAAGGTGATGGAAATAAATATGTGATCCAGACATGTGGGACTAACTCGCTCACAGCCGAAAAAGCAACAGGCATAGAAATATATAAAGATTCATGTGGCTTTTGTGAAGAAAACCCAGCACTCAAATGTGGGAATGATACGTACATCGTAAAAACATTTGAAAAGAATCACATGTACTACATTCGACCTTCTTCATTAATTAATACAGGAAGTATTTCATTTTCAATGGTCCGCCTCGACTCCACTGAAAATGATCAATGCGCAAATGCACAACAAATCGACTTGATTGACGACGGGGACACATTCTCCCATGTAGCAGTTGGCTCGGACAAAATTCCAAGTACAGTCGGATGCAACACAACTTCACAAAAACAAGGAGGGTGGTATAAGGTCGTGTCTCATAGAAACGGATTGAATGTTCAGGTTGGTGTCCTGCCACGTATGAAATCGTTACATAAAAATATCATTCTTGAAACCAAAAGTTCGTGTGATGATACAACACAGTGTTCTGATTATAACAATTTTTCATATTCGACCACTTTGAATAAGAATGAAAGTTTCACGTTGTTTGTTTCAGTCTCTCAATCATATCCAAACCAGTATTACCCATATTATGGCGCTTTTATCATTTACGTTACTGTGAAAAACAGTGATAAAGGTAATTCATATGATTTACCTCTTGTGATCACTCAATTGCCATTCACTGCTGTCGACCAGTTCCACACAACAACAGTCCAACACCCGTGCGATCGCCAAGGACACAACAATGGAATTTATTATCAATATACATTCTTAACAGGGAAGTCGTATGTCATTGACACGTGTGGATTAGAGTCTGCAACGACAGAAGCAACTTTGGCTTTTGGGCAAAATGATTCATGTGCAGGGTTAAATGTGAACAAATGCCAAGACAATACGGGTACTACCGTGAAGTTGACCCCAACAGAGGATGTCACCTATACTTTTGGGCCTATAGCGACTATTGGAAACACTGGCAATTTCTTTCGTGCTTCGAGGATAAATGTGTATGAAGAGAAAGCAGAGACTGAAGGGGCTTGTGATGTTCCAACACCAATCACTACAAATGGAAGATACTCATTCAACACTTTATACTCAAAACCATCGCGTAGAGTGTGTGGTGAAGTGAAAGATGGTCTTAAGGGGGTCTATTATACTTTTAAAGCTAACTACAGTTTGATCTTGTTAGTTTCTACTGACGACTTGACTTCATTTGAAACCCACATCAGCTTCTATAAGAGCTGCCAAGTTGTTGTTAATGATTCAGTCCCAAAAGAATGTATTGCCTATGGAGACCACGAAACAACTCCAGTCGCTACTCGTGGCACTTATGTCAAATACCAAATGAAAAAAGATGAAACCGTCTTGATTTATGTTGGCTCAGCTTCTTCTGGCGCAACTGGGCTTGGAAAAGTCGATTTCGAATGGCGAGAAATTGAAGACAGTGAAGATTCCAATAACGAGGACGGTGTATCTTCTCTCTCCGTCCTTTTGATCTTAGTTTTCTCCTTAGTAATCTTATTCTAATTCACTGTTTTGCAATGCTATTATTTAATTTTTTAAAGAAAGAATCAAATATTTTAATTATATTTTAATTATATTTTAATTATATTTTAATTATATTTTAATTA